AATAGAGATTGTTCAATTAATATGATCTAGAGTGAATATTTTAATATGAACCCTAGGATAAATTATAAAGTATTGCACACCTGATTCCTCTTAATTTGAGAAAATGAAGGTAAAACATGAATATATGTTTTCACTTAATCATGATGAATAAGAAGTTTTTTAAAGAAAGAAGGGCTAATACCACTACAACACCCGAACTATCGCGAAAATGCCACTTGTGTCCTATTGTTTCCAATATTCCATCTGTGTCCTGAACTATGATTCCGTTAGTGTTGACTTTTGTTGACCGTTAGTTTTTAACAGAAAATCTAGTCAGCACTGATGTGGCAGCTGACGTGGAATTTTTAATATTATTTTTTTCCATCTAATATTAATAAAATAAGAAAAATAAAATAATTAAAAAAAAAAAAATCCTACCTCTTCTTCCCCGAATCCCCCTCCATGACTTCCTGCTGCAATTTTCTCGGCGGCACCATCGCTCCTTCCTTTCTTCCCCAACACAGCCGACACGAACGTAACAAGCTGAAGGGGTTTCGAGGATCTGGAGGCGGCGCCATCGATTGTAGCCAGTAGCTCGGCGGCACCATCGCTCCTTCCACTGGCGACCTACTTCTCTTCTCCAGATCGCCGATTCTCTCTTTCTCTCTCTCTCTCTCTCTCTCTCTCTCTCTCTCTCTCTCTATCGACTTCCAATCTGGATGTCTCTGCCTCCCCCATCTTAGCGGCGGGTATGTTTGATCCCAACCCCAAGCCACCCCACTACTGCAACTTCCATCTTCTTCCTTTCTCTTTCTTAATCGAGCATGGTCGAGAGTAGGAAGATTAACCGCCGCCTACGCAAATCCTCTCTAGATTCATCGCCAAAATCTTCCATCATTGAACATGAATCATGGGCTGAGAATCCCTCTGTCTCCGATGATGGGATTCAATAGAATCGATTTGGATTCTGGCGATTACCCGATTTGGGATTTTGATTTTCAATTAACCCCATTCTCTGGGTTCCGGCCATAGTAGCCAAACAGGAGCCAAAGCTTGAATCTTTGCCGAGAAGAAGAAGAGTTTTTTATTATTTTGTTTTAAATTTTTGGTTTAATAACATAATTGAATTTACATTTTCTTTAATTTTAACTCATTTTTTTTATTTAATATGAATTAAAAAAATATTAGGTCAATGACGTGGCACTTATGTGGCAACCTCTTTTTTTGCCACGTCAACAAAAGTCAACTTCACGTTGACCACCGTTTGGTCAACCGTTATCTTTAACGGTTAACGAAATTGACAGGATACAAATGACACAAAGTATCATAGTTCAGGACACAGATGGAATATTGGAAACAATAGGACACACGTGGCATTTTCGTGATAGTTCGGGTGTTGTAGTGGTATTAGCCCAAGAAAGAACTATTATTGCTTAGTCAAGTTTATATTCAGATCTTTTGCTATATAAAACTTGTTTTATTTGATAGAAATATATATTAGAAATAATTCGACGAAAAAAATACATTAGAAATAAGAGAGTTGTTAATACATTAAAAATCTAAATTCATATATTTCGTTTTCAAAGTTGATTGATAAAAATATTATTATATATGTGTACTTTTTTATCATTTGTTTTCAATGTTTCTATTGTAATATTTTTTTAGTTGATACAAATATTATTATATATGTGTACTTTTTAATCATTTGTTTTCAATGTTTCTATTGTAATAATTTGTTTGATTATTACAAATATTATTATATACGTGCACTTTTTTAAATTTTAGTCAAAATGTAACTTATTATTCAGTTTTGGTGAAAATAAGTAGAAAATTTACTTGATAAGATTTAATCATATACTTTTTAGTTAAACAAATTCGATATAGTCACTTTTTATTTCCATCTTTATATTTTTTTAATTGACAAAAATATTATACTTTTGTGTGTTTGTTCACATTCTCATAAAAATGTAATGTATTATAAATTTTTAGTAAAAATGAGTAGAAATATTAAAAGAAGAAAGATAGCTCAATAAATAGATCAATAATGAATTTGTGTTTGCAAAAAAGTTGTTCACCTTGGCAACTTGTGAATTCTCCAAGTGCTTATGTGGCAAGAAGTTACTTTTGAATTGCCATAATATATAGTATAGATAGATAGATAGATAGATAGATAGATATAGATAGATAGATAGATAGAAGATAGATAGATAGATAGATATAATAATGTTTGATGTGCATGATCATAATAATTTAATGAAATTGGGTTGGTTAGAGGGTGGGTTGGTTTGCGCCGTTGTCAATTACAACACACGCGGGGCCGAGTCGTCCGCATCGAACAGACAGCACCCGAACCTACTTTCCGGCCAGTGACGACCGACGACCGCCGATGCATGCTGGTAAGGAAGAAGACAAAAGAAAGGGTTGCAGTGCACAGTCCTCCGCCACGTGGCGAAATTTCGACACATGGTTCGTTCTGGCGGCTGCACGAATACCCAAAGGCCAGCCTTGCAGGCAAACAAAGTATGGGTCATTAAACATGTGGGATGAATAAAGCTCTCCTTACTCCTTATGAAGCCTCAAACATGTGTTAATAAATCGGGTAAATTCTTGTGTTTTTTACTTTTTTTGTTGTTCATTGTCTTTCTTATTTGTTGTCGATTATCTCAATTTCTGTGTGAAGTGAGGATTTTCTTTGACCCGTTAATTAGAATTAGTTTCGTGAAACAAATAAAAAAGGACGATACATAAAAATTATGAAGTGAAAACAATATCTTAAAACAAATGTATATTGATACTGTGAATTTTGATATCCAACACAGTAAAGTCCACGAAGAGACCTGGTAAGATCATAATTACACCATCTCTTCTAGCTAGATAGTGAACCTCTGTATCTCCTTGAAGTATAGTGAAAGTGACTCTCTTCTGCTTGTAGACCCTCTAACACACAATGTGAAAGTGAATCATGTACATCAGTGTGTCATGTTCGTTCTTGTTTTCATTTTCTTGCTTTGTCAGTCCACCGATTTTCCAATGCATAGAGAAACAGTCGTGACAAATCTCATTAATCGATTTGAACTTTTGGGGGTCCAAAGAAAAGAAGAACAAGAGGCACGTCCAAACCTTGGAGTCACTTTCAAGGACAGAAGGAAATGATCAATCAATTCACAATTGGGACTTGGGAGGAAGCCATAAGGAGAGTTGCTATCGTGGTGGGAATGAAATGAAGGATCGCAGCATGGATGCTTGATGGTGATCCACACTAGGCAATTAATTGCCAACTGGAACCATTATCCCACTAACCAAATTAATTAGCTTTCCGTCTCTCTGCACTTTTGCCTCGCAACTCTCACAAGAAAAGAACAAGAAAGGTTTTCCACGAAAAGCTTTTCGGAATTTAATTGGAGCTACCCATTTTCTATCCTTTCAATTTTCTTTTTCTTCACGATAGCAACTCCACTATGATGTTGAACTTAGAAAATGAACAAATCGCAAGAAAATAAATGATATATGTTAGTTAGGTTAACAGCCAAAGCATGGTTGTCAACACGCGGGCTGATTTGAATCCGGTCGAGCTAGTAAGTCAAGAGTTTATGGGTCACCCATTTTAGTTCAGTTTAGCCGGGAAATATGGAAAGAGTCATTATATTGTACTTACCCTGATAAATTTATATCAAATATCTCTAAACTATGAGTTATAACATATAATATTACATCAAAATAACATGTCGTTCTTAGATCCAACATATAGTGAAAATTCACACACACTTATATAACATTCATTTTCAAATGTTCAACTTAGGATTCCAAATATTGAGTTAGGCGAGAAGAAAAATCGGAAAATATGCGCATTTTGTAAATCAAAGAAAAAAATGACACAATTTGACATCCTACTCGATACCTAGTAGCGGTCGACCCGACGGGTGCGTGCGACCCGTTTTTCTCACCGGGCCAGGATCAAAGTGGGTCACCACGGATCGACCAGCAGGTTGACAACCTTGAGCAGAAGAGAACAATTATGTTACTTAAAAAAAGACACCGTGGGTCGGGGGCATTGAGTCCCCGAACTCTCAATCTGAACGTATCGCCCTGGACCCCAACTCGTTGATCAGGCAACGAGATACTGTGACTTCCAATCGACGATATATAATTTATTTTCAACTCATAGCAACAATTCATATAGGAATTAGGATAGATTTTTTTTTTTTTTTGAGGGAATACAATTCATATAGGATAGATGTCAGTGTACGTTGTGTGTGATTTTAGTCGTTACATGCACTTTAAAGTCGACGCTTTGAACGAAAATATTATTGCATGTACTTAATAATTAAGGCCGGACAAACACTTGACCCAACAACGTCATTACATAGCAAAATGTCAAAATTATTATATTGGGAACACGGCCGGACTAGAGAATGTGCAAGGTGGATAACTAAACACAAGCCTTACATCGTCGCATCTTTCCAACAATTGCCGGCGGCGAGCCTTTTAGTATTACTCCAAGAAAAATATCGCATTCACTCGTTTTTACATGGACAATAATACATCCCGATGTCATCGGGTCTGCAGCTGGATAAAACGAGTTTTAGAGACCTAATTATGAGCCAAAACAAATGGAATTTGACACTTTTGTCTCTCAGTAATCACTATAATTAAAACACATTAAACAAATACCTGGTTGACACGTAACCAATAATATTGGAAATGACGTCCAAAAGAATTGAGAAAAGAACAAAGATATTATCAAACTTGGAAATTAGCAGTAAGTAATAACTTATCAAATTTCAAAGTATCTGATTATCTGTCTCTGTTAACCCGTAGTCTCAAAAGGTCCGAAATAGTCGGCTTGACTTTTCCACAAGGCCCAACCCGAGCCCACATGTTAAACTAGCCCAAAAACCCGGAGTCAAACTACCACCACTCACCACTCGCCACGTTGCAGAAACAACTACACATCTCCGCACCCGATCACACCCCGTTCCCCCCTTCCCCGTCCCTATATAATCCCCCTTTCCCTCCAATTCCAATAGAGCCTTCACCAGTTCTCTTCTCTCTTTCGTTCCCAATCTCATCCCTTCCTCTCCCCACTCCAGAACCTTCCCTCTCCCTCTCCCTCTCTCCATCCTTCCGCCGTCGGTATCACCGGCCGATATCTGACTAATCTGGCGAACTCCGACGAGCTGGCAGAGCTGGAAAGGAAGAACCGAGAGGTGGTTCTTTCGCTCTATGAAGCCTTGAGCTGCCGCGACGTCGAAACCATCACCAAGATCCTCGCCCGCGACCTCGAGTGGTGGTTCCATGGCCCTCCTTCCCACCAGTTTATGATGCGATTGCTCACCGGCGCCGACAACAACAACAACAACAACAGCAACATCAAAGATCAGTCGATTCAGTCCTCCTTCTCCTTTTCCCCCAAATCGATCGCCTCCTTCGGCTCGATCGTGATCGCCGAAGGCTGCGATTCGGAGCGCGGGATCTACTGGGTCCACGCCTGGACCGTCACGGATGGGATAATTACCCAGGTCAGGGAGTACTTTAACACGTCTCTCACCGTCACGCGCCTCTCCAAAATCGGCCGTTCAAGGTCAAAGTCCAGGTCGTCAGCATCATCGACGGTTGAGATTGCTTCCGTGCATTACTGCCCTTCCGTCTGGGAGAGCAGCCTCTCCAATCTGGTGGGGAAGTCCGTTCCGGGGCTCGTTCTCGCTATCTGAATCTGAGCCGTCCATCAAACACACGCCCGCATCCCTAGAAAATAATATTATTAATTATTTATTGGGTGAATAAAGAAGGTGTGCCACGTGTGTGTTTGAGTCGCGGCGCGAGCGGAGATGTAAGGCCTTTACCCTTAAGGCCGTGTTTGTTTGGCAATTTGGTCCGTTTGTGGTCATAGACTCTAGCTAAGGTTGCTCTGTTTCTAGTTCTATCTCTCTCGTGTAATGTCGGTGTGGTGTTATCTTCGTGTCGGAATAAAATTGTGCGATTTTAACAAATTATTAATAGCTTCTTCGAATTTTATTTGGTAAAGCTAACGATTTAAGGAATAATGAATATGCGACATAGTATATTGTATGATTCGAATACACTATATGCTATCATGAACACTACGAGCGACATAGTATATTGTATGATTCGAATATACTATATGATATCATGAACACTACGAGGAACATGTTTGGAGGATTCGATAAAGCCGTCGGAGTTAGGCTCTCTTGTCATGGCTGATGTGGAGAGAGAGATTCGGTTTCATCCTAGGAAAAATATGTTATTTGTGTATATAATTACTAGGCTTTTGCAGTAGTGAGCTTTTATTTTATGATAAGCGCGTGTATAAAGGAACTGATAATTAATTAATGAAAGTAAAAATTGTAGTCGGTGGGCCGTCGCATGCCGGCGGTGGTGGACCAGACCGGAGAGTTGAACTTTTGAACGTCCAATCTCCAATGTATTCCAACGGGGAAGTTGTGTCTCTGCCATTATCGCCCCCATTTAACACAATCGCTGCTCCACCATTGTCCCAAAGTTATTGTCGCTTTCGCATTTCCGGCGATTTTATTTTAGGTTAAGTTATATTTATTATATATTGGGGAATGGGGCTGTCATCTTCAACTTTATGAGATAGATAGTATGGGAATCATGGTCTATGAAATCGTACTATACTGGCGGTTCAACCACAAAATATTAGTATAGGAGGTTAAACTGGTAGACGGTATTTAACGGTACTAATGGTTGAACTACAGTTAAATTATGATTTTGTCATTAATTATCCTATCGCTGACTTTTCCAGTACGATCTCCGGCCAGTATGGTTTCATGAACCATGATGGGAAGTGGAACAAAAGGAGAACATTTCCATTGCCAATTTGCTATTTTCTTAGAGAATTACCATTTTCCCTGGAAAACTGAAACCTAATTGCATCATCAAGTGAGAAACTCTACCAATTGAGCTATATCCCAAGGGTGAGGTGGAACATGCAAAATGAGTCACATACTTCTATTTTTTTTCCCATCTAAATTAGATTTATTGTAAAAGAATTTTGATAGCTACCTAAGACACTAACACAAAGATCTTTTTTATGGCAATTGCGCATACTTATCAGTTATATCACAGACTCGCTCTCATATTTTTAGCTTTCTTCTTTCTTAATTTGTGTTGTTTCCTTCAAATCCAAGCCCACCTGTTTAGCACATTGGCTGTGGTCCAACAACAATTTAGGTTGCTATCCTAGTTGCTTTATCAATACACAATGATGCTGCCTTCCAAGTTACAACTGGTCTTTTGTTCTCAAGAAGACGATCGAGCAATATAATCGGCAGCCTTTTTGCTTTCGAACACCAGCATATGGAAGCAAAAGGATCGAATAAAGAAGCGAATATCCTGAATAACTATTTCTACGTAACAAACAGAAGGGTCTCCTCCCTTTGTCCTTTATCACCACCAATCTGTTGCACTAAGTTTTGGAATATGTTGAAATATTGGTGGTAGTGACTAATTTCAAAAAAAAAAAAATGTGAGTCACTAGAAGTCTAGAACTAGATGATATGTGTTATAATGGAGTAGACAATCGACAATACAAAGAAATAAACGGCACATGAATTTACTACCACGTACCGATATGTATGTTATTTGAGTTAACTAGCGGAGAAAACGAGATGCAATATTTTTAGTAGAGCACAAATAACAAGCACAAATTCTTCCAATATGCAGAAAATGCACTATGATTTAAAAGCTGATAATGACACATATAATGGAAGAAAGTAATTAAGGGTGATTATGAATGGCATTTCGGTAGTGGGGATCTCATCCATGCGTTGCTATGTTGATAAGTTGATCCACCTATTTGTCTCATCTTTTCCATAATGCCTCATTATTCTTCTTCTTATTTATTTAGTTTTAGGGGTAATACCACTAGAAATACCATTCTCATCCATGCGTTGCTATGTTGATAAGTTGATCCACCTATTTGTCTCATCTTTTCCATAATGCCTCATTATTCTTCTTCTTATTTATTTAGTTTTAGGGGTAATACCACTAGAAATACCATTCTTTAACGAAAGTGCTATTTATAGTACATGCTTTCAATAAACACAAAAATATTCCAACCTATTAGGGGTTTGCGTCATTTGTGTTACGCAATTTTCTGTTGACCGTTAGAATTGATGGTTGACCTGACGGTGGCCAACATTGTGTCCACGTAAGCGACAAGTGGATGCCACATTGGAAAAAAAAAGAATAAAATTTTTGAAAATATTATTTATTATTTATTTATTATTATATTACAAAATTAAAATAATTTTAAACACCCCCCCCCCTCCCGCGCCCCACCGTGAATTCGCCCTCCGACGACCAAACTTTCACCGCCGTAGTTGCCACATTCCTTCTCCATCGATGGTGACGACTAGCCGACTTCCTCGAAGTAGCTATTTCCACAATCCTCTATCTTTTTTACAGCATCAGGCCTCTCCTCCGAAACTCCCAAACTCAAGCCTCCACACAGGCCGCCGCCGCCGCAGCATTACTCTGCCATTCCTCCTCTCCAATTGCCGCCGAATCCGATGAATCCGCAGCCGAAGGAGCCGATTGTTGTCCAGGAGAAGGAGGCGGAACAGTTGGTTTGATTTGATCGCAGGGGCGGAACTGATGGTTTTGGAAACAATGGAGCTCCTGTGCCGAAAGGAGATCTTTCTACCTGATTGAGGGTTTCTAGATTCTCGAGGATTGCAATTGAACTGGGTATCCTTCCTTTAAGCCTGTTGCCCGAAAGATCCACACGGGTGAGATTCTCGACCAAATGCTTCGGAATCGAGCCCGTGAGATTGCCATTCGTGATGGTGAGCAGAGGGCGAGGTCGAGATCTGAAGGGAAACGGATAGCGGTAATGGGGCAGTCAGCGAAGGAGAGAGACTGGAGGGTGGAGAGGGACTTGAGGGCGGTGAAGGAGAGGGAAACGTCGTCGGAACAGTTGGAGAGGTGGAGGGAGACGACGTGGCAGAATGGGGAAGGCTGGGCGCATGGGTCTTGGAAGTGGAAGGAGATGGGATGATCTTGGGAGGAGGGACGATGACCGGGGAAGAGGTTGGGGTGACAGCTAGAGCGACGGCGGCGGTGGGCGTGGTGGATTTGCCGGCTGCAGAGGTGGAGCTGTGCTGGCTTTTTAGGGGGGTTGGGGAAATTTGGAGAAGAAGATGATATTAGTGGAGGGGGAAGGACTGGGAGGTGAGAATTTTTTTTATTTTTAATTTTTTCATTTCATTAAATAAGCCACGTCAGCGAGCTACGTAGGATCCTATTAAGCGCTGACTGGGCGTTGAAAAGTCGCCAGTTATGTTTAACGGGCCAACTAACGGAGAAAACATTTTAGTATACAAATGGCATATCGAAAACTATGTAATATTAATGGCACTTTCGCTAAAGGATGGTATTTCCGGTGGTATTAGCCCTTAGTTTTAACTTTGAGATGTTGAAAGTATAACAGCGCAAAACAACTAACACTGTACACCCACTCACGTTTTACTGTGCACCTAGATACGTTTTACTGCTCATTTAGACCTTATTTTGCTGTTCATCTGACATTTACTGTGCGGAGCCAGAGAAGCTGTATGGGGCTGGTTGTCTCACACTCTGTTCTTAAGCGAAGCAAAAGGAGGGGAAGTGAAGGAAAGGCTGTAGGAGACCCAAAAAACTTTCCTCTGTTTTTTAAGTCATGAACAGTGACGAGGGGAGGGGAAGCGGAGAGAAAATCTCCTGTGCTAGCCACACCCCCAAATCGGAGGGAAAGAGAGAGTTTCCTCTCTTGCGTGTCCCAAACCCTCTCTCTCTTTGCCTTTTTTATTTCTTTCTCTCTCCATCTGTCTCATTTATCTTTAATAATTAAATTGAAGCAAGTAGATATAATTTATAAGATGAAGTAAACTATGAAAAAAAAATATGAAAAGTAGCTTCATAAAAATATTATAATTAATGGGTAGTAAGTGATATTTCCTTTAAATTGTGTTTATTATATTTTTTATAATAAAAATTGTTCTTCAACGTTGAATAAATTTTAATTTATTAGAATGCTTGATCAATTATTATAAAATTTATTTAAAATATTTTTTTTATTAGTCAGCGGTTCATTAGTGGTTTCTCAAATGACTTAACACCGGTTAAAACCATATCATCGACAGGCTGGATAAACCTCCTAACTTAATCTAAACTGATATGCAATTTTAAACGGTAAAAAATAATTGATGTAGTTAAATCACGATTTTAGAAGAAAATACGCTACCACTTATTTTTCCGATACAATCTCTGGTGCGGTTTAGAAAGAAAGTACAAATTTAACTCATAATTCATGAATAAAATATTAACATACAATCAAATTATTTTACTATTACATAACCAATAAAATAACATATTCATCACATTTCCACAATACACACTTTCTTTCCCACTTTCCTCCATAAAACAACATTTCCCTCCCAATTTCCTCACCTCCAAATCTCCCCTCCCCTCCTAATTTTCCTTCACCTCCCCTCCTTTTCCTCTTTTCTTTCGGAAACAGAGTGTTACAGTTTCAAGTTTTATCCTTATAAAAGATTCATCTGCTTTTACCCTAGATCCTTCTTAATACACATTCTATTATTATGAGTGGTCAACTAACAGCTTAATTTGTTTTCCTCTAATATCTCTGTACTGATATCATGTGGTGCCTCTAAATGGAGACATTACTGGATGATAGAGGCGTGGTATGAGTGCCCCAAATGTTTGAATTTGATCCTATGCCTAATTATGTTTCTTACTATGTTTCCTTCTCTTGCCTTATATACATTTTATGTTAGAAGATGGATTGTGCCTCTAAGGGAACATTCTGCTGTAATCTGAGATTTGTTTGATTGCCCAAGAGCCCAAGACTACTTTCTAAATTTCTTTCCATTAGTTTGAGAAAGTTAGGAGCTTTGGGTTTTTTCATTGTCAAAAGTTTCGCATCTGGTGAACTGATTCTATCTATAAAGTCTTGTGGATCGTGAGTTGTGATTCTCATGGAGAATCCTTTAATAGATATATACATTATCTTTGAGGTGAATGTTCTATGTTCCCCATTGATAAAGATGAATCTATTGTATAAATTTGATTTTGTGTTGGATATGCCTTCATTACTTGCTTCTTACAGTCTGTCTTCATCACAAAGTCGAATATCTACCATGCTTACCATATGAAACCTCCTGACTGCAACTTGGAGTCCCAAAAAACCTAATGAACTATGTCCAGCTTCGAATTAGGCAATTTTATGATCAGTTCTTGATGTTCTGCTCATGTTCATCATCCAGAGTTTTTTTTTTTTTTACAACTCTTCATCCAGAGTTATTACACATCGCACTAATCCACCAAAATGAAAAGTTGGAGACCATAGCCTTTTTTCCATTTGATTGCCATGCCCGGATACATGTTGGGTTTAGAGATATAATTGGACCATGTTTTCTTAATGGAAAAACATGTAACATTTAGACTATTGTTAGTGGAATCTTAAGAACAAATAGGCCAATGCTGAGCGTTGCCTTTGAAAAAAAAAATGAATTATAATTATCAATTTTAATTCTATAGTCTGCCACCAAAATTTTCTAATCTATTATCCAAACACGTAATTAAGCATAATCGTGCTCACCAGATGAGAAAATGCAAACACTAGAAAAAATCAAAATTGTTCACTTTAGATAAAATTCGAAGACAAAAAAAAATCCATGACTATACATTAACTACACGTTTGCATGTATTTATCACAATTCGACGCGGAGCGCGGGCAATGAAAACTAGTTAATAATTAAAACTCAATCCATCGGTAACGAAGAAGTCCTATCTAGGCGAGCCATCCAATCAGCAAACGAATACAAATGTTGCGGCACAAACCTAAGGTGTTGATTGTCAAAGTCCCTATCTAGCCGAGCCATCATGCGTTGCTGCATATCGTTGTCAGTCTGAACTTCGTCTAGTCGATGTACTAGAGTTCTGCCAGTTGGAATCTGGTCGGGCCAAGGTTTTCCAGCGGCCGCAGCCTCGTCGGGCCGAAGATATTTTTCGGTCTGAACGTAGTCTAGTCGATGTTTTAGAGTTTAGCGGCCAGAACCTAATCGAGCTAGAGGTTTTCGAAAACAAGAAAATGCTAGCCGACCGCCAAACTTTGCTTAACCGACGATGATGTTTTTTAATCCAAAATTTTGTAGAGTTATATAACTTAAGACTGAAATTTTGAATTAAAAAAAAATTGACGACAAATATTAAATGAGTTGGCGGGAAATAGCCTTACCCCCTTACGCTATTCCTTCTCTCAAACTTAACCTTGTGTTGTAGAAACAAAGACTATGTGGTGGAGTTATGGATGAGGGATTTTCATTACTTTGTTTCATATTATCCAGTTTTAGAAGATGATTGTAATCGTAATAGTTTGTTTGGCTAGGAAGTAGTTGGAAAGATAGAAACTGGTAGCCGCTACTGGGGTTTTTTGGTTCTACAGATCACAGGGTAAATTCCCTTCTGGAATTTCCCCCTTCGTTGTATCAGAGTGTGAAAGGTGTTTTCCTTTGCACTGTTTTCTTGTTAATAAAATGGGAACTTATTTAACGGAAAAAGGGTTAATACCTTATTTTGGCTTGGACTATGATTATATAATCAACTTTGGCATGTGGTTTCAAAAATTAACATCTTGGCCTCAACCATATAAGATATAAACTCAATTGGCCCAACACATGGTTTGACCGTCAATTTGAATGGTCAACATTCTATATCATTGCCTCATCAGCCTAAAAATCATTAAAAAATCTCAAATTCAAATTATTTTGCTAATTTTTATTATTTATCATTTTCAAATTAAACATAAAATAAAATTATAAAAACATAAAATAAATTTTATTTTATTTTTTTTTATAATTTGGAAATGAAATTTTTTATAAATTAACCAAAAATTATCAAATTATTATAGAATATTTAAATTACCAAAAAAAAATTATATTTTTAAAATTTATCATTTTTAATTGTCACAAAAGATAAAACATGAAATTTATTTTATATTTTTTAAAATTTAAAATTTTATTTTCTGGTTAATTTGAAAATGATAAATAATAATAATTAGAAAAATAATTTGATTTTGATTTTTTTAATGATTTTTTGGTTGACTAGGCAATGACATGGCGTGTTGACTCATGGTCAATGGTGTTGAACGTCCAAACATGTGTCGGGCCAATTGAGACTATATGCTACATAATTGAGATCATGATGTTAATTTCCGAAACGACGAGCCAAAGTTAATTATATGGTCATAGTTCGGACCAAAATAATGTATTAACCCGGAAAAAAAAACTATAGATTGTATCTCTCTCATTTTTCGGTGTAGAACGGTAGATTGAATCTAAACATTGTATTTGTCAATTCCTTGTAATATTCTTTGTTTCCTTTTCTAGTTGATTAAATCGTATAAGAAAAAGCCAAATTGTCAGAGTTACGTACCTCAATAATTTTCCACCTAATTGTAGTTTATTAATTATGCGTATACGTATGATGATTTTATCAGAAACAGATAGACATGGGCTATGGCGACAAAACTTGAATAATGATTGTGGATTGTTCTTGCCAAAATACTCGATCATTTCATGATTACGGATAATAATTTTATCAGCAGCGGACGCAGGATTGGATAGGTACTAGGCCACATTTTGAAAAGAGGTATAGTGGGCTAGGCCATAGCTCGATGACGAACACTTAAAAGATTACCAAAAATTACAAATTTACAAGTACTATACTAATTTTGACCGAGAGAAGGGCTGGGCTGCGGCCCAGAGGCACCCCGGGATCCGCCGCTGATTTTGATCTGATCCAAGTTGTTTCAATTTATATATTTTTACTTTCTGTTGTAACGTAATGATTTAAAGTTCATACTTCTATTTCTTCCAATTCGATTTATTACGAATTATTGGTTCTTGATATAGTATATGAGTGTTTGATCAAGAAGTCTTATCATTTGAGTGAGCATGCATAAAGTGAAATGATATTGATTTTCAAATCAAGTTATTAAGAGCTATCAGTTCTGAACATATGTTCGAACGTTACCTGCTAGTAGCTAAGGTCTTAGGGGTCGTTTGCTTGTTGGATTTGAAAAATGAGGGTTTTGGCCTTCAAAAACCTTGGGATTTATGTTGGACTTATTGGATTATGGATTTGAAGAGTATAATGTTTGCATGATAGATTTGATGATGGATTTGTGATGGATTTGTTAAATAAATAACTAACCATCAAGAATTTGCAAATCCCAAATCAATATGTGGGATTTACAAGTCCGTGGGGTCCACGGATTTAGCACCCTTCAACAAACAATGGACTAATGTTAAATCCATCAAGCTTGGAATTTGGGTACCAAATCCATGACCCAAATCCAACAGGCAAACGATTTAATTCAACACTGCTCTTGATATGTTTTATCTTAGTTTATTGTCGATATTTACATATATGTAAATTGTGTTGACTCTTTATGCACTAACCTAGTTCTTATATATCTAAAAAATAATTTCATTTTACGCTTAACATTTACAAATGGATCAATCTGTTTCTTATTACTGCTTTACATGGATTATGAATATACACAATCTGAGTCACACATAAGAACAAGATAGGGTAAGTATAATTATTTAAATATTTACCTAGATTTTTCATGAAAACCTTTTACTAAGGATTGCCGCAACAGCCCATGGACTATTATCTGCCAACCAGGGCAACAAATGAATTCACGGCCTATCAGTCCAAGCAGTGCTATGGTTCCAGTGGGTAATCTTATCTGCAAATCCATGGGCCATGAGAGGAGTAAAAGTTTTGGGTTATGAATGTTTGGGTTAATTACATTGTTGCTCACTGAGATTGAAAAAAACGTTTATGTTTGGTCATCTCTGTATAAAGTAACTCACTAGATTCGGAGAACTAGCCGGAGAGAGGGAACCTGGAGGCGACGGCGGGGGCAGGAACCAAGGCGAAATTGTGGAAGTGTAGAGCGAAATAACGGAGAGAAAAAGGCAGCACAATCTGATTCCGAGCAAGCCGGTGGTGGTGGCTGAAATTTCCAAACTACGAAGTCGGAAGAGGAATTGGTTGAATCCAACGACACTGCTTCTCCTCCTCGAGATCTCCGCCGACTTCCGATTCTCCTTCCCGATCTGCCTTGCCCTCCTCTTCTCCCCGCTCTCCTCTCCGCTCCTCCCTCTCTTCACTCCTCTGCTCTTCGGCCTGCTCCTCAACCTCGCCGTCGTCGATCTCACCAAAGCTGAGCTCTCTGTTCGCGTTATTCCGCACTTCGAATTCCAATTCCCGATCTCTCTCGCTCGCTGGAACCTCTACAACAACTTCCGGTGCCGTTCTAGTCAGTTTCAACCGTCCACTATCGCAATCCGTCTCCGTCACTCTCACTTCATCAAGAGGCATCCCTCCTCACTCTTTTTGCTTTGCCATGCTTCGATTCTCAATCGCTGACTTTCGGATAGGCAGGCTCAGATCTTCTACTTCCACTAGTTAGGAATAGAGTTCCTGGAGCTTTATCCGGGAGAAATGCAAGGTCTCTGAGCCAAATTTAGGGTGGTGCCAGTGGATGCGGGTAACTTTCTAGATTACTCTGCTCGGTCTGTACGCACTGTTGAAGCCAATCTCCAACGGATGCGTCATGGCTTAGGGATTCGGCCGACACCCTCTTTCAGTCGACGGTGAGAAAGAGGGGTGAGATTAGTTCATTAGGTATTTAAAATGAATAATTTTTAAATTTTTAAATTTTAATAGTAGTAATAATGAGGTGGAATATTTAAAATTAATTTTTAATTGCCACATCACAGATTTAATGGTCAACTATGAGAGTTCACAGCCACATCAGCCAAATTTAACGGAGTTGGACGGAGAGTGACCAAATTTGGACTGTCTTACTAAATGTAGTGACCCTGGATGAATTTAAATATTTCGAATGACCAAACATGAACCTTTTTTGTAATCTTAGTGACCAACAATGCAATTAACCCTGGATGTTTGTAATGAGAACTTCTCAACTTAAATTTTAACGTTACAAACTTACAATCATTCAATCAAATTTGTATTGGTAAATGCATAACCTTTTGCCATCGCCAATTCGCCATTGCCACCAAAAATCCACAATAAGTTATATTACAACAACAAAAAAACATTACTCATAATTTTACAATTTACACGATTGTTTAGCCTCGACATTTTTGACTAAATATTTTTCTCGAAGGTTTGTCAATTCAATCCTCTCGGCGTGGGAAATGACCATATGATCGATTCGCACTAACCAAACTTATACATATAGCAATTGGAACAAAAATTATTAGTCTAAGGAGTATCGTTCTCGTCAATGATAACAAGGAGGGCGATGATAAAGGCATAATCAACCTCAGGATAGACTTTGATGGTGTACCTTTCCTTCCCCTTGTAGAAGCTCTCCAAGGTGAAGTTGTGTTTGACTTCCGCCAAGATCCTGTGGCCTTTGTACACTTTGAAGGAGAGGGAGGTATAGGAGCCAATGACATTGAAGTCGGGTGCACCGATTTTCTTCGTAGGGTTGTTCATATTGCCGTTGCTAAGAATATGATGGTCAGAAAGGTAAACATTGAGATCCTTCTTGATTTGGAGAGGGTGAGATTGCTTCACCGTGAACAAAAGATTGTTGTTGTCATTCATTCGCTCTGATGATGGGCTCTCCTCGTTGATGTATGCCCTCCATTTGTGCCATAATGTTATGGTCTGCTTCATTTATAGGTTTCCCAATTTTACACAACCAAAAAAAATCAAAATTTTATTCTCCATCAACATTTCATTGTTAATTTGGACATGGATACATACAACTCCTCTCTAATTAAGGTAGGAGGAAGGGAAAAGATTCGATGTGATAATTAACTAACTAATTAATTATATCTTTTTCGTCGCCCTTAAATAATATTGATAATCCCATTTGGTTAGATGGACGAAACACGCATGAAACAAATCTCGAACATTCCAATCAATCACCAAACCAACATTCATCTATATGTAGTTAAAAGCACAAAGAAATTTACCTTGCCATACATGGTGAGGATGGGAAAGCCGGAAGGCTCTCGAAAAACACGCTTCATACGGAAGTTCCAGACACCACCTTCAACATGGAGGATGACATTGCCACAAGGGTCGAAGACTTCGAATTGGGCATTCGAGAGTCCCTTAATCTTTTTCTTCACCACCAACTCCTTGCAATATGGGAAACAATACCCATCCCCTATCACACTCACTTGTGGCACCCCATACTCCCATTCCCTAATTTCCATTCCTCTCTCTCTCAAGCAAAAACCCTAGACATGAACACAAGAAATGAGGAAGAGAAGATGGAAAGAAAGGAAGGAACCAAGAAGAGATTCGGAGAGGGTTTAATCCATTTTCAGGTTGTGTTTTTGTGTTGCGGTTTGAATTGCAAATCTGGTGGTTTGGGTTTCATTTCTTATATTATTTCCTTGGTGGGGTTTATGTTTTTTTTTTTTTTCCTTTTCTTCTTTGTTGGTTCTTCTTTTCTTTGTTGAAGGTTTATTAGGTTTGGTATTTTGTCATGGTGGGTGTTTTTTGAAATGTTGAGGGAGGGGAATTTTTACTCCTTTTTTGTTTTTATACTACTTTTTTTCTTGTGTGCCCAATTTCTGTACTTAAATAGACGTTAGCTTTTGGGAAAGCAATTTTTGTGGGGTATTATGTGGTTTTTTTGAATCTTTGGGGCAAGGGAGAGCTTCTCTTTTGTATATTTTTTGGAGCTAGGTTCTATTATTGTTCAATTGTAGGGTCAATTATTAAACAGTGATCTAATCTTAGGGTCAGTGGTATTTGAATTTAATCTATTTGTAACTTGCATTTACACTACCAATGATTAGTGTGTTGAAGATCCATTGTTTAATCTTTATAGATAACTCGAGTTATTGGATCAACTAGTTTTTGACATGGTATCAGAGCTTTCTGTGATTGAAATATTTTTTCGTTCGAATCATGATGACCTCTATCAAAGCCTTTATGAATGACTTTCATTTAACAGACTATCAGAGCCTTCTGTGATCAAAAGGTTTTCGGTTCCAATCCTGGTGACCTCTATCAAAGCCCTTATGTCTAGCTTTCATTTGAGGCGGTGTGTTAGAGTGTTATGAGAGAAACTATTTCTTGACAACAAGTACTTCACCAATAGTCATCTATTTTTCATTTGACGAAGTGTGTTAGTAGTGTGTGGTATAAGATCCATTTATACACCTCTACCAACAATTCGAATTATTAGATCATTGACACATTTACTTCATCAGTAGTCATCCATTTTTCTATTTGTATTTATGATTTATTCTAAAACCAATTGCATGGATGAAAGTGTCCTAAAAAGTATTTTAAAACAAATTAGTCCATTTAAATTTTCGTTATATTTGAGACACAAGACTGAAGTAAAATCACAATTCACAAGTTGATGCCAATTCATTTCTTCCATGACACTTATATGCTTTTCTGCTTTAGTTTCTTTATTTGGATCATCCTTTAAACTTTAGGACTGCCCCCCTAAGCTTCCATGAGAACACAAGATTCTTTTCTCTTTTAGTATTTTTTGCTTTTGAAACTTGATCACTCTAATGGTTTACGCCTACATTCCAAACATTAGATTCAAACAATAGTAAAGCATCATAGAAAAAGGTATGAAAAAAAAGAGGAAGAGAAGTTACTAAAAATGAACCCAATTATTGCGTTGTTGTTGGCTTTTTGGTGCATGATGTCTAACATTGCTTGCTAAGAAACCCCCAATAATAGGGCTCTCCATTCACATTGAAACTTTGAGAGGTTAAAATTGTCGGCCACATGGAGAGATAATTTCTAAGCTCGAGCTCTTTGGAGTTTTCGACCGGCTAAAGATGTGGTGATTAAGGGGAGTGTTTAATGAGACCAAAGATGATTAGTTGATTTTTTTTTTACAAAACATAATCATATATTGATAAAAAAAATAGGCAATTACATCTTGGAACACAGTCAGGTCCGGAAGTAAAAAAAAACGACTCATAGTCGGGTACAAAGAAAGGGCCTTTCTAGCTACCAAATGAGCTACCCTATTGTTTCGCCGACCCACAAATCGAACACTAAATCCTGCATGAGCCACCATCAAGTTGCCAACCTCTTCCAGGATGGTCCCCATTCGACTATCTCTAGTGTCACCCTGACGGATCTTGTCAATAACCAGCTGGGCATCACCTTCAAAGCGCACGGCAAAAAAACCATGCCCAAGGCACCATAAGATAGCCTCCCTGAGTGTCAGAAGCTCCACAATAGCTGGATCATCGATCCCAGGGAAATGAATCCCTTTCACTAGGAGAATCTCCCGGCCGGATTGAAGAGAACCATCCCTCCCGCCGAATGCGAACCAACCTTTACCGCCCCATCCCACATGCAAATTGCCGAAGCCGGACCCCCCACATTGGCCAGGCCAATCCTAGGGGAAGGCTGGGGGGCAGGGTCCTTAGGGAGACTAGCCCATTCCTGCACCTGTTGGCAGAATTGGCGCATCAAGGGCGCTATCCCAAATTGTTTACCTTCAAAAACCACCCAGTTGCACGATCTCCAAATCCTCCATAAGACCGCAATCACTTCCATAAACTGAGGCTTCCGGTCAATCAAAGCCAAGAGCTTCTTCAAAAAGAGTGGGAAGGTATGCCGAGGCAATCCCTCCCCGAAGTGAGCCAATCCAGACTGATCCCAAATGGCAAGCGCAACTATGCAATCCATAAACAAATGTTCCATCGTTTCAGCACTGGCCCAACAAACAGGACACCGTGGATGAACCTCGACCTCCTTTTCAATTAGCGCCTCTGTTGTAGGCAGAATTCTGTGACAAATCTGCCACACGAACACTTTCATTTTTGGAGGTATATCCGCTTCCCACAACCGGATCCAACTAGGTCGATCCATCCAACTAACCGTGGGTTTCCACTTCCCTCGCTGCTGATCTAGAGTGACCGCTAAATGATATGCGGACTTAACCGTGAACACACCATCAGTGGTCCCATGCCAGACCATACGATCCTCTAAATCCTGACGAGGTAACGGGATTGCCCTTATAGCCTTGCAGGTCATGGTATCAAACCATTGCCGAAGCTTATCCTCACACCACCTACCCTCATCATGTTGAATTACCTCTGCCACCCTCAGCTCCACCCCTTCCTCCATCACACGAGGGCTAAACCTGGGAGGTAGCGGGTGCAAATTAGGGATCCAACTAGATGTTAAGAGAGCAGCCTGACGCCCATTATCTATCTGCCAACGGAGACCCTCCGCCAACAACTCTCGACCATGAAGGATACTCTGCCATCCCCATGAAGGTCTAGATCGAGCTGTTGCCGAGAGAAAAGACCCCCGAGGGAAATACTTCCCTTTATAGACCTGGGCAAGAAGGGAATCAGGTTCGTTTAAAATTCGCCACCCAATTTTGGCTAGGAGAGCCTGATTAAACTGTTCAAACCGACGAAACCCCATCCCCCCGTCATGCTTACTCCTGCACATATTCCTCCACGAAATCCATCGAGTCTTCGACTGACCCTCCTCAACCCCCCACCAAAACCGGGCCACATGTTTATCCAACAAACGGCAGAGTGCCAGCGGCAATTTGAAGCAAGACATGACATGCAGAGGGAGGACTAAGGCTACTGATTTTATCAGTGTTTCCTTAGCTACCCAGGAAAGCGACCTCCGTTTCCAACCCTGCAGTCTAGCCAACAATTTCTCCTCAAGATATCGATTTGACCGGGCTATCAAGGATGGGAGCCCCAAGTATTTATCTTGTACTCCTACCGCCCCCACCCCCAGAATCGCAACTAAAAATTCCTGGTCTGCTGGAGCAATGTTCTTACTGAAGCAAACCGCAAACTTGTCCAGATTAACCCTCTGGCCACTAAGTTCCTTGTACTCATTTAGCACCTCTATCAGATTCTCACATTCCTGGAGGGATCCTCTCAGGAACAAATAAGAGTCATCTGCAAAGAATAAGTGCGAGATACGGGGGGCCCTTGGTGCCACCTTCACCCCTTCCAGTCGGCCATCCTCAATGGCCTTCCTAAGCAGGGCCGCAAAGCTTCCATGCAAAGCACAAAAAGGAGAGGCGAGAGCGGGTCTCCTTGACGAAGACCTCTTGAGGGGGAGAAGAACCCAGCCGGGGTACCATTCATGAGGACCGAAAAAGTGGTGGATCGGAGACATTCATGGATCCAGCCTCACCAGACAGAGTTAAAGCCCATCTTTTCCAAAACAGCCAGAAGGAATGACCATTCAACTCTATCATAGGCTTTTTCCATATCAACCTTCAGAGCCATGTATCCCTTCTTGCCTCTAGTTTTGATTTTTAGATAGTGCATCAACTCATCCCCGAGGAGAATGTTATCTACGATCTGTCTTTCCCTAATAAACGCATTCTGACCCTCCGAGATGACTTGGGGTAAGATACCTGCCAGTCTTTCTGTCATGATTTTAGTAATCACTTTATACACAAATTGGCAAAGACTGATGGGCTGGAGTTGCCGAATAGTCTCAACCTGCTCAACTTTGGGGATTAGGGTAAGCCATGAGTGATTGAAACTGCGAAGCATCCTACTTGTCTCAAAGAAGGAGCAGACAGCAGCCACAAGCGATTCACCAACGATATCCCAGAATGCCTTAAAAAATTTTCCAGTAAACCCATCAGACCCTGGCGCTTTAGTCGAACCCATTGAAAAAACCATCCTCCGAACTTCCCCGGGCAGGACAACCGCCATCTGATTATCATTCATTTCCCTTGTAACTCTAGAAGCAATGGGAAGCGCCTCCACTCTCTTAGTCATGTTAGGAACCTGGTTCTCTGAGGTGAAGAGAGTTTGGTAGAACTCAATGGCTATACCAGCTTTTCCATGTTCCTCAGAAATCCATTCTCCCTCCTCATTACGGAGGCCAGATACAAAATTCTGTTTACGCCGGGCACGCGTGACTGTATGAAAGTAGGAGGTGTTTTTGTCCCCCTTCTTCAACCAATGCACACGAGACTTTTGCTGCCAGTAAGCCTCCTCTGCTTCCCATTGCCTATTCAGTTCGATCTCCATCTTTGTCACTTCCTGCCAATTAATTGGTGGCTAGCTTTAAGATGCTCAATTTCAGCTTGCAGAGTATGGATATTCCTCAGGGAGTTGGTCGTCCCCGCCCTACTCCGGTCATAGAACAGATGACGGAGTTTTTTCAATCGCTCCCAAAGTTGGAACATCAGAGTACCCTGGATATCTTCCTGCCAGACATATGCTACCATTGCTTTGACCTCTGGGTTATCAGCCCATCTAGCATCAAATCGAAACAACGGCGACAAGTTCGAGCATAGGGTTTATCAGCAAGGAGGAGGGCTCGATGGTCTGACCCCTGATCCGTGTAATGTTTAACAAGAGTTTCCGGAAATCGATCCACCCAGTGCTGAGATCATAGAGCTCTATCAAGTCTTTCGCGAATACACGTCTGTCCCATACGCCTCTTGCTCCAAGTAAAAGGATCCCCTTGGTATCCTGGATCATGTAAATCCAGATCCTGGACAAAATTACGAAGGCTCAACGATTGGGATGCGTTTCATGGATTACCACCCTCCTTCTCAAAATCATTGAGGGTAGCATTCAAATCCCCAATAACCACGAATGGAAGGTGGATGTCCTCACAAATTGCACGTAATTGGGTGAGCTGGGTAGCTCGAATGGTCACATGGCAACTCAAGTAAGCACACACTACAACATACGACAAACCATTTTCATTAATTGTAGAACAAATGCAAAAATTAGAATGATAAAACACCGAAGCCTCAACCTCGGGGGACCAAGCTACAACTAGACCACCAGATCCATTAACGACATCAATAAAAAAACACTGAGAAGCTTCAAATCCTAAACCCCGCAAGCGCCGGTGACTACTCTCCGACACGATCTTGTTTCAGAAAAGAAAACAATGTCCGGTTTATTAGATCGAACTAACCCTACAGCAGTTTGAAATGTGAGGGATGGTCCAATTCCTCTCACTTTCCAGGCCAACATCCTCATTTAACTGGTTGGGGCCACTCTAGGCTGGCTTCCTCCACCTGTTCAGGATCCTGCTCCTCCTCAATAAACTTCTTCTTTGGGGAGGGGACATCATCAATATCCCCACCCACGTCTTCCAGCGGGCGCTTTCGATTCGCACCCGTAGCACCTCCAAGATTCGAACCATATTCATTCAATTTCAGCTTCGTCTCTCCCTCTTCATTCTCTGGCTTATTCTTCCCCTCATTAATGATCATTCCCGCCTCAAAAGCCGCCACCACCACCTGTCTAACGTGACCAGAACTAGCACCAGTAGAGTTCATAGGAGGTGTTCGACTTTTGATCATGAACCGATCATCATCCTCCGCAGACGGAGGGGACCCCGAGGCTACCATTTTAGGCGGATTATCATCAGCTCGGTCGAGTGTCACCGCTGTAACCGTCTCGGCTAAGCCATCCCCGGCAGGGGTTGGAGGTTTCTCTTTCTTATGACCCTTCTTCCCTTTGGACACTCGCACTTTCCCTTTTCCCCTGCCCGTGCCATCCTCCACAGCCCGAGAGCGAGGAGCACGCGGCTTAGGTTTGGACACTTTGGTTGGAGAGCCTCTCGGCTTCGAGGACCCGCCAGAAAGCTTGCTCGACCCCACCTTCATTAGCTTCCGCCATTTCTTTTTTCCCTTTTCCTTTCCACCAACTGAAGACCCATGTTCATGCATGGCCTGCATGGGTTGTACAGCCACGTCATCATCAGAGTCTTCCAATAAAAGTTTCCTCCGCCAAATCGCCTTTGCGGGCTAAGAATTCATCATTGGATCCGCCATCCTCTTTTCCTCCTGGCTCTTAGCAACTGGTTCCAGGATGCCATCATCCTCCTCCTCTATCTCCTGCCATGGCGAGTGCTCCTACAGCATTGGAGCTTTCTGAAGGGCCTTGCCACGACGTCGGGCGTGTTCCTCCACCTGTCGGGGGGATTGCGCCGGTGAAACAGCTGCCACCGAGCTCCCGAACATCAGCTTCGGCGAGCGCGCCACAGGGAATCCTTGAGGATTAGGACGGTGAGCAGCAGGCAGCTTACCTGGCCGCGTGGTCGCGACCCCAGGGTTTTGCCGAGCCCCATTATGTATCACCAGGGCATTGGAAGGGCGAGTATCCCCAAGTGTCTATATTTCCCAGCACCAGGAGGCCTGTCGAGGTATCTACAGAAGCCGACACGGACATCTGCGAATCCTCATCATCGAGGCCTAGTTCGTCCACAAACGGTAATTTGAAAGTCCAAGCTGTCATCTTTGTATGACGCCTATGTTTCTTAATTTCGAGAGTATCTTCCTACTCTCTGTCAAGACAAGCCCGAGCTTCCGTTTCCTGTTCCGTTTGACGGAACTGCCTTCCTTGTGCACGGCACCATCAACACATTGACGGCGGATGCAGGGAGTTGGCTGGGGAACCCTGTTTTCCAGCTTTGAGCCTTTCGGATCGCAGAAAACAGGCCTTCTATTGATGTCCCCCCTTGACCATTGTGATTCTGGTTCTTCAAGCAGCAGGCTAGGATCGAGCACCCAATGGTGAATATCAGTTTTCCTAGGTTCTCCCCCAGTCGGAGGAGAGCGGTGAGAGCACCCCTCATCGATTTTTTTTCTCCTGCCGTGTGCGCATTTGTAAGATGATTAGTTGATTACACGTTCATGATTGATGAAATTTCACAAGTGAATTTGAAATACTATTTTCTAATGTCTTCGTTGTACATGGAAAGACAAATAATGCTTGAGAATTGATGGTCAATCAGTATACACTAAGATCATAAAGGACACATACAAAAATTGTAGTTCATATGTTGCGGTACAATCCAAATCCAAGTATTACAATAGAGATATAAGAGAAAGAACTATTGTGTATCAGTGTCCATCTAGTTCAAATAGTATAAGTTTTTTTGAAAGGAACCCAAAAGTAAAATCAGCGAGTTTGGTCTAAAGTGGACAATATTATACTAATAGAGTTATACGATTTCAACAACCAGTATACAAGCCTGGTTTGGGGTTCGGATCGAGGGCGGTAAATGTCAAAGCGGACCATCACATGACGACCTTGAGATTTGAGATGTGCATGTGTCTGGCGGATCTAGGAAGATCAATGTTTAATAATATGTCTGGCGGATCAAGTGGATATAAACATATGGTAAATCGATAAATCCTTGTGTCGAAGATCCTGTCAATACAAGGTGCTCGACGAATAAAGACAATCGATAAATGGTGGATATAAAAGTCGTGATCCTTGTTTTGAAAGAAGGATTGTTATGGTGCAATCCAACTACAACATGGAAAATAAACTTGTATATACACCTAGCACATAGACCGACCAATCCTATACACTCTGTTTGGGAATAGGTGCAAATGAGAGGAGGGTGCAAATGGGAGGGGTAAACACAGTTTCCAAAACACTTGCACCTGTTTGGATAATTTGTAATAGTAGGGGTGCAAAACGGGAGTGCAAAGTTACTGTTTCGGCCTACCCTCCAAATTGGGGTGCAAGGGAAGGAAGGAAGAGAGGGGGGAGGGGTGAGAGTGAAAATTATGGATTTTTAATTATTATATAATTATAATTATATAATTATATAATAATTAATATTGTCAATTTCTTTTTTTGTAGTTATTATTGATGTAGAGATTGTTCGGGGTTGACTCCGGAAGCAAATTTATCAATGTTCGTCTAGTCAACTAGAGATCTCTTGGTTGACTCGAATTTGCATTGAAAATTAGAGATGAGAAGTGTTTGTGGAAGGTGTTTGATTAAGTTTGAACATATTCATTTTAGAGCTAAATTAGAGACGAGAACCTTGTAGGATAACCAGTTACGAGTTGGGCTTCGAGCTTCGAGATTGCTCGACCAATCATTATTATAATTAATTATTATTTGAGCACTATTATATAATAATTATTTTTATTAAAGCATGTTAATTGATATTATTATTATATAATAATTTATAATAATATTATATAAATTTGATAAATCTATTTTATAATAATATAATACTTACTTTTAACTCTATTTGCACCCTCCTACTTTTTCATCAAAACAATAATTTACCCCTGCACTTACACCCTCTACCAATTTGCACCCCACAGCAATTTACCCTCTCAACTTGCACCCTCTAGTTTTTTCACCCCACTTGTTGCCAAACATAGTGATACTGTTTCGGGTCGCAAAAGGACCAACGAGAAATTTGCGAAAACCTAACCCCACAACGGCTCTGTCACTCATTTCGATTTCTAGTTTCTTACATGGTAAAATCGTTGTCGCTGTATCTACGTTACTATTCCCCAATTGTTAACAATCTAAACAGTATCGGAAATGTAAAGCAGTAAACGAGACAAGCGGATTTACATGGTATCCCCGGTTTCCCATGACTAATCCACGGAGGAGCTAGAAAACTCCTCAGCTACTGATGTATACGAGATGATGATCTGGTTTGTGTTACAGACGCCGGCCGCCACACTCACACTATATACTTGATCCCCACAAATATTAGGGATTCTCCAGCTACGACCCTACTTTGCATGGGCCCAAACTCCAAGACGTAAACAATGGGTTGTACGTAATCACTACGCATGGGCCGAGATCACCTATCCAACTAATGTACAAACAAACAGGTACAGAACTGGCTAACAGCCTCCCCAAATTGATGCCGAGAGGTTAACATCAATTTGCTTCCCAGAAACCAGTGGCGACTTGTAGAGAAAGAATTCGTGAACATATCAGTAACTTGGTCTTCTGTCTAAATATAACGTAGATCAACAGTACCATCCTGTACGAGATCGCGAACATAATGCACATGTATCTCAATGTGCTTCGTGTGATCGTGAAGAATTGGATTAACTGCAATCCGGATAGCACTGGTATTATCGACGTGCAGTTCCATAGGAAGAGAACTCAAAATACCCAAGTCTAACAAAATTCGGTGAAGCCAGGCAACCTTAGAGGAAACATCAGACATGGCGCGGTATTTAGCTTCGGTAGAGGATTTGGAGACTTTATCTTGTTTCTTGCAGTGCCACGAAATGAAAGCCTCCCCGAATTGAACACACCAGCCAGTGGTGGAGTGACGAGTGTCAGCACACCATGCAAAATCAGAATCTGAAAAGGCACGTAAAGTCGCAGAACCAGAAGAAGGGAAAAGAATGCCGACATCCTGGGTTCCCTGTAGATATCGAAGAGTTCTATGAACGGCTGCAAGATGATCTGTGTGAGGATCCTACATGAACTGGCTTACCACTTGTACGACATAAGAAATATCCGGGCGAGTAGCTGATAAATAAATCAAGCTACCCACGATATTGCGGTAAACAGATCCATCTGGCAACTTGTCACCTGAATCACGTCGGAGCTTTAAATTCAACTCCATTGGTGTGTTCATCGGGTGACAATCCTCAAAGCGGTGATCACTGAGAAGGTCAGAGATGTACTTCCACTGGCAGAGCAATATCCCCTTATTAGTCCGTAAAACTTCAAGTCCAAGAAAATAAGACAGATCTCCAATACCTTTAATGCTAAACACGGACTGCAATCCCTCCTTGAGTTGTTGAATGATGTGTAAATCTATTCCGGTTAGGATCATGTCATCAACGTAGAGAAGTAGAACTACAATCCCGGTTGGACTAACCTTGGTAAATAGAGAAGGATCGTTGAGACTCTGCTGACATCCAAGACTGAATAAGGTGGATTGGAACTTCTCAAACCACGCTCGCGGTGCCTGTTTAAGCCCATAGAGAGATCGGTGAAGACGACATACTTGCCCAGGATGACCAACTGTATAACCTGGTGTTCGTTCCATGTAGATAACCTCATCGAGGTCACCATGCAGGAATGCGTTCTTCACATCCAGCTGTATAGTGGCCAATTTTGAAGAGCAGCAACAACAAGAAGTGTCCGAACTGTAGACATCTTGGCAACCGGAGCAAACGTTTCTGTGTAATCTACATCATATTCTTGGGTGTACCTGAGCGCTACTAACCTTGCTTTATGACGTTCAATCGCTCCTTCTGGTGTCATCTTGATATTATATACCCACCTGCAGCCAACAACAGGAACTGAGGGAGGTGGGCGATCAACAACTGTCCAGGTGTGATTGGCATGTAAGGCATCGATCTCCTCTTGCATGGCTTTGTCCCACACTAGATTCCCAGATCCCTGCTTGAAGCGAGTTGGAACCATGAGTGGATAGACACTATGGGCCACAAAATTTTGAAAATGCCGAGGGGGAACTCCTTTTGTTGCTCGAAGCGAACAGCGAAGTTGAGGAGAATTCGGTGCGGCAGAACCATGGGAGGAAGTTGCATGGGAGGTGGGTGATGACGTCCCTGCATGGGTTTTCTCTAGGGGTGGTAAACGGTTAACCGGTTAGCGAACCGATAACCGGCGGTTAACGGTATAACCGGTAACCGCCGGTATCGGTATACGGTGGCCAAAATACTTGACTCGGTACACCGGATACCACCCGGTTAATAACCGGCGGTTAGCTAGTAAACCGGATACTGGCAAGACTCTTTAAAACAAAACAAACAGAGCCCTTCCCCTTTTGCCTCACGTGATTCACTTTGCAAACCCTTTCTTCTCTCCTTTTCTACCTTCACACCAGTCGCCGCCATCCTTTTCTTCTCTCCTTCTCTTCTCTTTTCTCTTCCTCATCCCCAATCTCCCCAAAGCTCTCTCATGAACTGATACAGACCCACCTTTTTATCTGGGTTTTGTGAATTCTTCTTCCACTGTTACGCAGTTGGGCAACAAGAAGTACTGTCGAGGGGTTACAGAATCTCCAAATCTGGCGCCATGCGGCGGTGGTCCCTTCTTCTTCTTCATCTCCAGATCCAACGCCATGCGACGGCGGTGACAGTGAGGGAATCTCCAGATCTGCCATGTTCCAGCGGTCCCTTCTTCTTCTTCTTCTTCTTCATCTCCGGATCCGGCGTCTTGCGGCGGCGGTGACTGTGAGGGAATCTCCAAATCCGCCATGCAGCGGTGATCCCTTCTTCTTCATCATCTTCGACATGGGTCAGGGAATCTTCAGATCCGCCAGCATGTCTCCTCGCCCGACATCTCTCTCCTTCTCGATTCCAGATTTGCCAGCAGAAGAACGGCAAAAATGGTCCAACCCGCCAGAGAGGGGCATCGCTGGTCGAAGCCCAGAGGAGTAGCAACACCAACTCGATCTGCAATTGTAAATGTGGACTGGATTTCCTTGTCCTTTTGCGCTTTTTTCATGGTGGGGTTACACTAGGGGAGGGTTTCTTTCCTTTCCGAAGCAGCTGTTATATTCATTGTGATTTTTTTTTGGATTTACATGTTAGGAGGAGAGGGTTTCTTCCCTTTCCGAAACAATTATTCTGATTCATAGATCATTGCAACTTTTGTATTGAATGTCTAATTGTGTATAATAAACTTTAGATAGAAGGTTTATGGTCTTGCTTATGTTTGTGATGTGGTAGAAGAATGTATTCAAAAACCAACAGCAGCAGGAGAACCGTCCTCAGGCGCAGCACTGTCATTTCTCGCCTCTTTGCGGTACATGGGTAACCGGCTCACAACCGATAACCGCACCATTCGGCAACCAGTTTACCGAATCATATTAGGTATCGGCAAACGGTGGTAGTGTGGTGGTTTACACTATACTGGTAACCGGTCAAATGGTAACCGGTTTAACCGGATTCCGACCAATTACCACCCCTAGTTGTCTCTTTGTGAAGGCTGGACGAGGAGATATTGGCACCTGTAGAGGAGGAGGCCTCACTTGTGGACTGGTCGACAGGGGGAGGCAGATTTGGTGTAGAGGGAGGCGATCCAGGGTCATCGAGAGGTGCCACATGATCATCATCATCATGAAACATGGGGAGAGGAAGACCAGGAGAAGGAAAGTTACAATAAGATGGAGACAACTCGAAGAACATCATGTGTTCAAAGAACACTACGAAACAAGCTATACGAACACGGTGAACTATGAGATCGAAGCAAAGATATCCTTTGTGAACATCGCTATATCCTAGAAAGGCACAACAAGCAGTCTTAGACATAAGCTTAATTCTTTCTCTCCAAGGAAGTAGAACAAAACACTGACACCCAAAAACACGAAGTCTAGAATAATCAGGATGATGACCGTAAAGAACAAAGTAAGGACTCTTTTGCTGAAGAGCTAGAGTGATTTGATAGTTAATCAAACGCACTGCAATAGCCATAGCTTCAGGCCAGAACCAGACAAGAACATGAGAAGACAAAAGAAGTGCACGAGTTAGCTCAACAACATGGCGGTTTTTCCCTTCAACCAATCCATTTTGTTGTGAAACTCCAGGACACGACATTTGACTTAGAATGCCACGAGACTTATACACTTCATGTAAAGGATTAGAACTAAACTCTCCACCTGGATCAGAACGAATAATCTTAACTGTACGACCAAACTGTGTCCGAATCATGTTAAGAAACTCAACCGCGATAGAACGAAGTTCGGATTTCAGACGAAGAAAGTAAATCCAGGAGAAACGAGTGGCATGGTCAATAAACAGGGCAAAATAAAGATAACCACGACGGGAAACATCAGGAGAAGGTTCCCAAAGATCTGTGTGAATTAAATGAAAAGGTTCCTGTATGACAGTGGTACTAGATGGAAAGGAAACACTGGTAGTTTTAGATTCAACGCAGCTAGTACAAAAAATGTTTAACAAAAGCACTAACATTTTGTTTGCCGAGAAGAGACAGATTGAACATCAAAGAAAGACGACTGGAGTGGGAATGCCCCAAATGAGCATGCCAAAGGCCCCACAAATTATTGGAAAGACTCGAATAAACTGGATTACTAACACACCTAGACAGACTGACTGACGGATGAGGAGATAGGATGGTCATGCAGCTCCTCAAGGTGAAAAGTCCTCCCCTGTTTACTCCCCCTTCCTATCTGCCTCCCCGTCTTCAAATCCTGCACCACACATCCAGTTGGAGCAAAAACAACAGAATAGCCTTGTTCAGTCAACTGCCCAACAGAAACCAAGTTCGGCACTAATCGAGGAACATACAAAGTATTCGGCAAGGATATGTTAAGTTGATCCACCCTACCAACTCCCTCGACCTTTAGTTAGGGGTGGGCATTCGTTCTGTTCGGTTTAAACCGAACCGAACAGATGTATACCGGGGTCCTAATTCCAGCTATAACCCAAACCGATTCCGAATCGAATTATAATTCGGTTCAGTCTGCCCCAACCGAATTATAACTCGGTTCGGTTTTTCTCCAAACCCGAAAATGGAAGCTGTTTGCGTTTTGGCCACTTGACTCCTGCGTTTTGTGGACACCTATTTGGAAAAAATCGACAACTCTCTCGGCCTATCTTCTTATTTTTCCCCTTGACTCCTCAAATGCACTCTCTCTCTCTCTTTCTCTCTCTCTCTCTCCAACTAAAAACGATGTAGCGTCGGCGGACCACGGCAGTCGGCAACGGCGATTGAAGACAGTGATGGTGACAACTTCGGCGGACGACGATGAAGGTTCGTATCGCTTTAGATCTAAGCATGCATGTCATTTTTTGGCATACTTTATCTCTTTCGAGGCTCCAGATTCAAATCTTCAATAGCATTGTCTTAGTCTCTGTTTCTGTTTTCAATTCAGGACTTCAGGTGGAGAAGAGGGTGCTGCATTGGGGAAGAGAAAGCGGCAAAGAAAGGTCAATTCCGATGGACGGCGGCGAAGGACGACGGTGAAAGGTTGATGATGTTGATCGTTCGAATTGCAAGGATGATGGATAGCTGGTGTGTGGTGGCTCCCCCTGCCCCTGCCCGCTGCGCTGCCTGTGAGAGATGAGAAGAGAGTTGCAGTTGCTGCCTCTCTCGTTCAATTCATTAGGTTTAGGGTTGAGTGTTTGGTTATTTGGGATGGGGGTGAGTTGAGTGTTTGGATTTTATTTGGGCTGGGGGTGTGTTGAGTTTATTTGGGCTGGGGGTGAGTTGAGATTGAGACCAATCCATACTTTTAGGTTTTTCGGTTCGAAGTTTGGAACATCGGTTCTGTTGGAAGAACCCTGGTTTCCGAATTAGGGTAATTTCTCTTCCGAATTCCGAACCGGACAACGCTATTTCGGTTTCAGTTCGGTTCAAATTCGGTTCGGTTCGGTTCGGTTTTACCGAACCGGATGCCCACCCCTACCTTTAGTTGATTCCCATTAGCTACCATTAATCCGAAATTGTGTACAGGTCGAGTTTCCTTAATGACACTAACATCCTGGGTCATATGATTAAAACAGGCTGAGTCGATTAACCAGGGTTTAGATTTCAATTTACCTGAGCTCTGGAATGTGGCAAACGCAGCACTAATAGCATTGGGAAGAGTCTTCTGTAGGGCGTCTTGAACAAGTTCCTCGACTAAAGGTGAGGAAGTGACGCCATGCACACGTCCACCGACTTCAGCCGCATTCACCGCATGAACAACTCTTGGGGGATTGTGTGACGGACCAGCAGAAGTACCTGCCCCAGCATATCGAGCTGCATTGCGCTCCCTAGTGCGACATTCAAGTATAATATGTCCACTCCGTTTACAGTAAACACAAAATTTTCTTCGGCGGCAATGCTTCAGTAGATGTCCCTTTTCGTGGTAGTAATGACATTCCAATTCAGAAATCGGAACCCGGGATTGAAATTGGGGCCTTGAAACAGCATAGGCTTGAGTTCCCTGTCCATTAGCTGGCGGCATGTGACGAGGGACAGCGGCAAAGACCGGCTCCCCTTCGTCGGGTCTCACATCTAGTTGAGCCTATGTACGAAGGCGTATCTCCACCCTCACAAGCATCCCCAAAACTCCCTCAAAGAGCAGGGTTTCGTTGTTCAGAACAGTGGACCGAATGTTCTCAAATTCGGGACGTAATCTCATAAGAAATTGCAGGAGCCGATTTTGCTGCCTTTCTTCCAACATCTCAACAGTGGCAGCCGTCGGACGTAACACATCACTCAGCAAATCATGTTCAGTCCAGAGTTCTTGTGCGGCATTAAAGTATTCAGTAACGGAGCGTTCACCTTGTTCGAGGCGAGCTAGAGCAGTCTGAACTTCGAATTGGCGAGCAGGATTGGTGGTGGAATAGGTTGAAGCCAAGTGTCGCCACATTCGGTGGGCTGTAGGGAAGAGTCGGAGGCTAAGACATGTGGAGGAATCGACCGATCCAAGCAATAATGACCGCACCCGAGCATCATTCTGCTTCCAGGTGGCAACTTCTTGAGCAGACGCCGACGGCGTGGTTGGCTTCGGAGTCTGACCATCAAGGATGCCAAGTAAGCCCTTGCCTTCAACAAATACCCGGAATTGGAACTCCCATAAGGCGTAGTTCGTCGATGTCAGTCGAACAAATGGTCTCTCAGATTCGGTCACGATTGGCTCTGATACAATGTTAACAATCTAAACAGTACCGGAAATGTAAAGCAGTAAACGAGACAAGAAGATTTACGTGGTATCCCCGATTTCCCATGACTAATCCACGGAGGAGCTAGAAACTCCTCAGCTACTGATGTATACGAGATGATGATCTGGTTTGTGTTACAGACGCCGGCCGCCACACTCACCCTATATACTTGATCCCCGCAAACATTAGGGATTCTCCAGCTACGACCCTACTTTGCATGGGCCCGAACTCCAAGACGTAAACAATGGGTTGTACGTAATCACTACGCTTGGGCCGAGATCACCTATCCAACTAGGCCAATACTATGGTGCCGATGTTAAAAATGTGGCACCGGTAACGCATTTCTAATTGGTCCATGTAGGATGTGATGTGGCAGTGGGTAAACTCGTTAAATTAAAATCAAATTCGATGGCCCATAGAACGGGCCCAACTCGCCCCTGCCAAAATTACGGAGTATGAGCTTTCCGCCTTTCTTGAATCTGAATCTATTATTTCTTTAATGTTTTTGTTTTCATTAAATCATTTACACTGAATTTGTTTATTTAGAGGAATGAAAAAACGAATGAAAAATACTGAACACATTGTCGTCTTCCTCTGTCTCCCACTTTGACAGAGTGTAAAAGCAATAAAAATGCTTGGCAAACTTCTCCTACGACGATATACTCCTATATATCCTCTTCGATTCACCCCGAAAAAAACATGCACTATCTCCGTTCTCTAAATCGCATCTTCCCCTGATCTTGGTCCCAATGTCATATATCCGAATTCTGATTTTACGTTGGTCTGTCTGTCTGTGTGGCTCTGTAGGTTTGATGGGGTCGTAATGCCCAGATAGAAATCGGAGTGAACCCGTCATATGTAGTATTAGGTATCCTCCTTAATCCTTCTTATTGCAGTTTGGGCAACCTAATTCCGAAACCTGATGCAATTTCCTCCTTCCCCACTCCGCCCTTCGCCGCCCATCCTCAACCTCAGTCAATTCAGATCACCCACTTCAGCGTCCTCTCTCACTAGTTCTCGGGCTTGACTTCTTCCCTCACTCACTCGGGTTTTGATTTGGATTTTGACGTTGTTCTCTCTTGCTCCCTACCTTCTAAGTCCCTGCTTTTGTTGGTGGAGCAGTAGCCACACTAGTTGGGGGCTTGGGGCCTCCCCATATCCAGGCCCATCTTTGGTATTCAGGTGATTTCTCACCAGCTTTTGTTCTAATATGCATAGATTTGGATTCATTGATCTGTGCGAATACAGGTTGTGTTTTCAGGTAGAATGACTACAGAGATTGATTGGGTGGCTTCGTTGATTTTACTTTTTACTAGTGTATATATCTATGATTGATTGGGTGGCTCCATTTTGCCGTCCCCGTTGGGCTAAAATTTGGAGAGGTAGACTGCGCAATCTCCAGAGGAGGAAGTTGAGCGGCGGTGGATGGTGGCGAAAGTAGGACAGACAAAATTAATTGGATCCAGAATATGTTACATTAATTTTAATTTAATTAATGAAAAACATAAACAAAAAGGCATTAGATGGAGAATGGTTCTCTCCGTTAGTTTGGGAGGGCTTGTTGGGCCACTCCTAATAGGCCATCGGGGCTGGATTGAGAACTTGAGATTAAATTAATCTAATCAGTGCTACATCATCACACGTGGACCAATTAAAAGTTGCATTATCGGTGTCGCACTTTTTACATCGACACTATAGTATTGGCCATCCACCTTATGTACAAAACAAAGAGGTACAGAACTGGCTAAAACCAATCACCACCACGTCCACAAGAATAATCTATTCAGCCGGCGCCGGCGACAAAAAGAACCCATCGGGCTAGCCACGACGCGGCCAAATTCCAGAACAACATGGACCTCGCTACCGCCGGAGAGAGTGGAGGGCGGCGGCTGCCTCTGTCGGAGGTGGTCTCCGATTGCGTCAGGCGGTGGTTCGAGGACACCCTCAGGGATGCCAACGCCGGTGACATTGAGAAGCAAGTGCTTGTCGGCCAGATGTATTGCGCTGGCTATGGTGTTCCTAAAGATGTCGTTAAGGTTGAATCTTTTTCTTCTTCTATTATTTCTTAGGGTTTCATTTTCTTCTTTCATGCCCAGAATTTGTCGAATTTTTGCGTCGTCTTTCTGGGTCTTAACTGGGCTTCTCGTTGTAATTGTTGTTGAAGGGAAGAGCTTGGATTGATAAAGGTCAGAAAGTGGGAGATAAGGACCCTGGTTATAATGCCATTGACTCCGATTCACAAGCAGCCGCACACTGACAATTCTCTGCTAAAATTATGAGCTGGAGAGGTGAGCTTGATACATCGATCCAATTTTGGGCATTTCTCATCTCATATTGTGTACTTCTAATTGGAAATGTTGATTCATGAATAAGTTGATATCTTTATTAACATGAATGTGCGCTGATCCATGCCGAAACTGTGACATTACATATGCTGGTTGATACTTTAACTAAATTAAACCAGGACTGCTACACTTGGGACAGTGCTGTTGTTTGGTAATCGTTTTGATAATTGGTAGTCACTAGTCAGTATGGTTTGGGTGCAGAAAGAATACAATGTTATGAACTTTCATCTTCCTTCACGTTTGTTTTTCCTCCATTCCCATGGCTCTTGAGGATTCTTCGAAGCCCATAACCCAACACGCTTTGCTCGAGCCTGCTTTTCCCACTAGTTGATATACAAAAATGGTTGAAGTTAGAGAACAATTAAGGCAAATCTTTTTTGGTTGAGGTTTCGGAATAGAGGCGTTTTTGTTACTTACTGATGCCAGTTCAGGACGTTTGTCATAGGCAGTATAGTGCCATGCGAGTCCTTTCTTGAGCATGATTTCCTAGCAGAAGGAAAAGAGTTTAGCTGACTTATGTATGCATTTTAGAGCATATTATAAGAAAAACAAGGTTTCAGTAAGGGTGGCTACCTGCATAAACAAACCATTGCAGTATATGTCTCCAACACATCGACCATACCGGTCTTGATCATAAATAAGGACTCTCAAACACTTGCCTTGAACATGCTTAACCAACTCCTCTTTCGCTTCTTTCCCATATGGCATTGAACTCTCCGGTGCATCTATTCCCCTGGATTTCTTCCCGTTGCCAGAATCCATGAGTCATTGATATAAAGGACAAGACTGATTTAACACTGTAACAAAGATTGCAGATTGCTGTACCTACCTTAGCCGGATGCGGTACTTTCTCGCAAGAACCTCCTCATTTTGAATGTTCAGTACCCTGCCATTATTAGCATGGAGGCATTGAGAAACAGAATCGAGCAACAACAAGCAAAACACAAAAGAATGAACTTGGAAATATACCCTACCTATATCCAGAATCAATAATCTTCTTGTGCAGTGCATCAGCCTTTTCATAGTTCCTCTCTGCTCGTGCTTTCGCTCTTTGACCAGCAGCCATTTTAACATCTCCTGGTATGCAGGTTGATTCCCTGGGATCGGTAGTGCTTACATAGACTGTTATGGTGTCTCCATCTGGTACTGCCTTCGCATCCACCTGTTTTTTTCCCCCACAAAGCATCTCATGTTAATGAAGTCAATTCACTACATCAAGTAGAAATGAGTCTTTTCACTTGCGTGTTCTTACTGGTAGTGTGTGCAGCTCAAACTTCACCCCTTCTGGCAAGGATGCAGGGACACCATGTCCATGGGTTACTTCGACGGGATCATGAGGAAGTAGCAGGCCATAGAAAGCCAGCAAACCCTTCAATAAATAGCCAAAGGAAAACAATAAATCTGCATTCTTTTCCTCTATATCTTCTTTACTTCTCATTTAGCTAAACTCCATGATTGTAAGTTTCAATCTTTATTTCTTTTAATCACCAACGATTAGCAAAGCAGAGAAACAAAGCTAATAGCCAACGCAAGAGTAATTTCATCTTTATTGTATGCTTGTATTACCTCAACATCTGCTTTTTTGTGTCCCTTCAGGGTCTGGATCACGAGCCTTGCAGCTTCTTCAGGCGTCCTGGGAGGTGGTTTTGCTGCTCTCCATGCCTCTATTAGCTTTTTGTACCTGCCAGACAACAAAAATAACAAGACCCAAACTTACAAAGAACACATTAAACCAGACATTGCAGCACTTGGAAATTCCAAATCCCCCTACTTTCTGCATTCAGAAACAACACCAAGATCACAGCTTTTGTCTTTACCAATTAGCTTGAGCTTTCGCGGACGAGACAACGTGCTTAGTCAATCCTTCTGGAACCTGAGTTGAGAAAAAGCCATGGAGCAGAGGGGTTGATCAAGAATAAAGGAAATTCAACAAGTAGCAGCAGAAGTTACTCTTTATCTTTGTTTCTTCTTCTTTTTCCAGTTGAATTCACACTGAAATGAGAGTCCGAAGAAGAAAGAATTGTACCTGGGAGGTGCTCTCGAAGTGCAACAAGTCGTGAGAAAGAGCTGAAATGCCTGCCGTGGGTGCAGAGACGCCATGGGGAGGTTCATAGTCACCTGCTGCTGCGGGCTTGCAGCAATTGCGGTAGAGAAATCTCAGGGCATTTCCCATCCTGCAAATCCCTTACAATATGGAACTGCACAATTGGCGCCTGGCGATATGCTCCGGTAGCAATGAAGGCAGCAGGAGAAGGGAAACGGGAGAATGGAAACGGGGATAGAAGAAAGAAAGAAAGAAATCAGGAGAAGGGAAGGAAAAATGAATTAGCTTCTTTGAGATGAGCTTTGTATGAAGTTTTGATTTTTGACTTTTGAGAAGGGGTTTGGCTGGGAAGAGAAGCAAAGGAGCCAGACAGCCAGTTGGATGACATAGCGACACGTGTCTTCCGTCTATTGTGCGGTGAATTCCATGAAGGAAATGGGATCTGCTGCTGTTCTTTTACAGGTCGGATGATTGATGAATGATGAGCTGGGGAGTTCTGGTGACACGCGCCCGTATATGCGCGTGGTGGATTCTTTAATAATATAGGGCTTATTGTTTATTCTGGGCCAGCATTCATCGGCCCATACGAAAGGCCCAGAAGTTGACCACGCAACTGGATAATGAATAAGAAAATGATAAACAGGTCTCGTCTCGTGCAGTTTAGCTGAATTCATGGCTTTGAAATCAATTCCCATCCCACCGTCCCATATGATATTTATCTCAAATTTGTCTGTTTGTTTCCTTTCCTTTATCAATTTCAGGAGCCGAAAGGGCAATGATTCATGGCTGAATTATTGGTACTGCTGACCTCACCCACAAAGGCACATACATATCCAACATGACTCATTTCTCCACATCGTGGCCAAACAAATATGTACTTTGTTTGGCCCTAAGGAAAATTTGTTAGAATTTGAATCTGAAATCTTGAGATTGACAGTCCGTCTTTCTATTCCTAGTATATGTGCAGTGAAGTTGCATTTATTTCCAACCGATGCAAGAAGACATATTACGGACTTATTGATTTATCGTTCGTAAGACCTCTAATTTACACAATTCGTGTTGTGCTTCATCTCAGACATGTACAAGAAGACAGAGTGATTCGATGTTGCTCTCCGCAAATCACGGATTACCATCTAATAAAACCAAACTACCTGAATCGAATTAGCTCAATGTTTTAACCCAAATCAAATAAAACTGAATTGATGATTAATCTGCAAAGGATACTGAGATATAAGTTAGAACTTGGGACAAAATCATGATCCAGAACCTGCTTTGGATTTTGAGAAACGGATATCGAATCAATCAATCGTTCATTCATTCTGGTAATGGAATACAGTACAAATGAAGCAGAATAATTGATGTACTGAGAAAGGCAGTGCCAAGGAGAAATGTTAAGAACATGCTTGTAGCTATCGAATATCACCAGCAGCAGGAGACCACAATCCACAAGCAAATTGTGGCCTATTTTGGCAATGCCGTGGGAATAAGGCAGCTTTACTGGTAAAAGCAACGGCCCCTGTTTTCATGGAATAAAGTGGCCGGAGCTGACTGCCTTGCCACTCAGAGCACTCACCACCTTTCCCCAGTATTTATATTCTTCTTCCTTCTTCTACCTCTTCCATTACATTCACAATCTCCTCTCCCTTACCTCTTTTCCCACTTCCCGCTTATCTCAAGCCAGGGTCGTTCTGATAAAGAAATTCGACGAATGTCTAATGTAAGCAAGTTGTGCGCCTTCGATGATCATTTCCCACCTGCTCTTGATTTCCCCCAACTGTCTGATGTTCTTTTCTTTCCTTAAATGGGTTTGGTGATGAACTGAAATGAAGTTGGTGGAACTGAAAGTCGGTCTGCACTGTGACGAATGCATCAAGAAGATCCTCAAGGCCATAAAAAAGATCCACGATATTGAAACATACGATGTGGATACACAGCTGAACAAGGTTACCGTGACTGGAAACGTCACCACTGAACAAGTCATCACAGTTATCCACAAGATCGGCAAGACCGCCACCAACTGGGACGATGAAGAACGCCAGCTCCAGCAGCAGTTCTAACTCTCTAAGAACCCTGCAGTCTGAACACCACCCAATTCTCTGTAGCCCTGAAAATGATTGCCGTTCTATCACCCCATTTCGATTTTGTACTGAATGAATAAATTAGCAGACGAATGAAGAGTGAGATTTACAGAAAAGGTAGTAACAAAGATCTGTTCTTTCATTGATTTTCTGCCTTTTTTGTACTTTTTTCTACATTAGCTTTTGGGGGGGAACTGAAACTGAAGCTAAACTGAAACTTGGGTAATAAACCTAAACCCAGAAAGGAAATCATGAACAAGATGACGATCCTGACCATCATCAAAGCCAAACAATCTTCTGCACTATGTACAATAACACTACATAAAAAGAAAATCCCCCCAAACTCTCCACTTCCTGACTCATCACCAACAATCTACCTCGGCTGCTGAATCGTCCTCGGACTCATCTTCACATTCACAATCTTCACCGCCTTCTCTGCATACCTCGGCGACCGATTCAGATCATTCTTCCTCCATTTCGTCGATCCCACCGACACCATTTCCCATTTCATCCCCAATTCTTCCTCCTCCTCATCTGCACCAAAACAAAAAACAAAAAAAAAAAAAAGAACCCAACCCAGAGTGAGTCGAATTGAAGCACAACTCGTGACTCAGCGAGCTTAACCTAGGTTGTAGTAGTAGTAGTAATAGTACCTATACCTCCGGAGAAGTGGAGGAAATCGGCGCCGTCGTCGAGGAAATCGAGGTCGTCGGGGAGTAAGAAGTCGGATTGGGGGTCCTGGTAGCGCTCCTGGAGCCAGTAGTCGCGGAACCAGGTGGAGGATTGGATGAGCGACCACCACTGATCGGAGAAGTCCTCCACCGCCTGGTAAGCCATGGGGACGAACATCGGCGCGTTCGGATTCAAGCTCGACTGCTGATGAGCAAACATTACATCCATCGCTGCTGCAAGAAAATGGGGGAAAAGCGTTTGACGAGGTCTGGAGATTGAGGATAAGAATGACGGTTGGTTCAACTTCGGTACGGTTTAAATAGGGGGAGATGGGTAGTAATAGCCCCTTGATTTTGACGGTATTTACTATGAGCCCGAGATATTTGCCACTGTCATATTCGAACATTTAATTAAGTAATTAGGTAATAATTGATACTAATAAATGACATCAATTAGGATAATTAACGGATAAGGGTACTGAAAACTTCCTAATTGAATGCTGGTGGTGTTAAGCGGTAATAGTTAAACAATGTATTTGTTTGGCATCAATCATACTTTGTGAGATTAATTAAAACTCGTCTTTAATTTTCTTACAAAAAATGAGTGACTTTATTAATTAATTCGTTTAAATTTGAAATATTACTTTACTATGTTGGACCATGTACAAGTGTCATAGTGAACATCCATTTCAAAGTAGTATTGAAACAATAGACAAATTCCCGATCGTTAATTACGTTTGTTAAAAGCTCGATATGTTGTTGGATCAAGTCGCATAAGTAACTCGATAATCATACCAATTTCGTATTACGTAAAGTTCAAATAAGGTTTTACCTATGTATTTGGTCATTTACTTCTCAAGACATAGTGTGTAACTTTATTTTAAGGAATACAAAAGTTAAAATGTTGAATCAAGGACGAAAAATTGAATTTGGTAATTGGGGTCGAAATTTGTTATTTTGTTAAGCAGTTGGCGGTTCGTATATATACTTGTCTCTGTCTTTTGTACTTCAGTCCATTATCCATAATGATTAGACTTATATTCTTCATTTGGAACTTTAATGAATTATAAGTTTAAGGAATTCTACTTGTTAACCTTTGGTTGACTGGTATGCTAGACCACCGAGGGGGACCAGAGGCGTGAAGAAAGGGTGCCTGTATTTTGAAGACACGTTTCTTTTGTCTTCTTATCTCGAAACACGTCATCGTTCTAATCCCCTTACAGCTGACCTGGACTGGACCAGCCCAGTTTCCGTGTGCTATCGCTGCTTAATCAAATGGGCCTACTCTTTTTTTTTTTTTTTTTGTAGAAGAGAAACAAGACTTTTTTTTGGTGTAGATCAATTGGGTCAAATCCGACCGTGAGGCCCAACCTGCTGGAAGCAATTACTATTTAGCTCTACTGAATTAATTTTTTTTTGCCTGGATCAACACTCATCATCTCTACATTTTGCACAATAATGAATAAACTATAGAGTTGCCACCGAACAAAATATTAATAAACTAATTTGACCAAAATTTTCTAAAACTCATATTTTGAACCGAACCGAACTTTACATATTTACCGTCAAACTGGATGGTATAGGCGAAGCTTTCCACACGCAACAATCTGTACTTCAGTGTTAAGTGTGTTACCTCAATAATTCTTAACGTACAATACAGCAGACATTAGAGATATTGGTGTCAGCAATGACTAATGATGAAGGTCTGTTCACAAGAACGTTTGAATTGTTTGCTCAGGTAAAAAGATACAGTTTTGCATCCTCAAGCCAAAAAAAAAAAAAAAAAACATACTCAATACAAAGAAAGTACAAAATATGGTAAGTTCTGGAGAGACTAAAATGCCTTGCCTGCTTTTTTCATCGTTTATTGCTCAATATCTAAATCTACTTCACAAAGCAAACAAAGCAACAGAAAGACACTGCCATTCTCTGAGCCATAAGATTGCAAGGGCAAAGCACCGCCACAGCAAAAAGAAAAGCAATAGGAGCGTTGATCCTCGAGGCTGCCAATAATAGGACCTGGATGTTACTGAAGCATCATTGCAGGATGAGTTTTACTTCTGGATGCCGGGAAATGATGGTAGCACAGCGATAAGAGGGTCCTTGTATCCAACAGAATCTGCATCATGTGCAACAAGGGATGTTAGGAACAACAACGAAAGAGAGACGTCACATCCTACCGAAGTTTTCGAATACTAAGAAGCTACACGATGAAATTTTGCTTAGGATCTACTGGCCATTAGTTTTCCTAAAGTCCCAGCCTGGACTCACTCGATATCCCTAGGTTCCTAACTGAAGACTAAGGCATCATTTACGAACGGGCTTGATGTAAATCAGTTTGAAAGACCTTTTCCATCTGCCTCAGACAAACACAAGCTACCCCGTCTGGAAAATGTACCCCAGGAAGATGGAGAAGGGAAGAGTGAGAAAGAGAGGATAAGTAAGTAAGATCGTGCTGGTAAGGAAAATTAACCGTCTTTGATGTCACAACTACAATTTCTATGTATGATACATGAATGCAAAGGAATTGATCATTAGCACGGATCAAGCTGATAACTCTCAGAAATGTAGGGAAGGAGAAATTTTACCTCCATCATTAAAAAGAATCTTTAGAACTTCGCCAGCTACATCAGTCTGCTCAGTCATCAAGAAGCACCACGATCAGGCAAAATTGGATTCAATTCAGAGATATAAAAAACAATTAACGGAGAGCAGGAGACTCACCTTCACCGGAAGTTCAGTGCCAAACTGATCCAAATATCCAATCACCTGTCCTTCTTTGATCATATCACCCTGCATTGGAATAAAGTACATTCAGTTTACAACAATCGTGCAACTCCAGGGATAAAACATTCTCAAGGTACAGATACCTCTTTGCAGATCTGAGGTTGCTTCTTTCCTTTCACTGTACGGTTCTTCCTGAATGTACCAACCTGAAAAATTAAAGGATGGATGTACGCTCAATTGAAGTGTTTTTTGGTGTTAGAAAAAAGGAAATGAAAGACAGAAAACTCTCAGCCGCCAACTCAAGCACAATCACTTACTGTTGGAGAAGCAACTAGAACGAAGCCGCTAGCACCAGAAGCCTCCAGAGCTGCCAACCTAGGAGACTTTCCAAAGGAGACATTTGTAAATGGATTGGACTTTTTTGGTGGTGGAGTTGGTGCTGGTGGAGCAGCAGGAGCTGCTACATCCATTGGTTTAGATGGAATAGGTGGTGGCACTGTTGGTGAAATGTTGGACAGTGGGGCATGTGTAACTCCTATGTTACGCTTCAGATGCATTTCGAAGTCACCCACCTATCAGAAACAGACAGATGAGTACACAGGACCCAAAGATTTACAGATGTAGTTCTAAGATCATGTGAGGATGATGAGTTTACCTTCAGTTTCAGCTCAGCAACTTCTGTTTCATCACAGACCTCTAGCATCAGAGCCTGATAATGAAAAGAACAAGAAGCAAGAACAATCATTAAGGTTCATGACAAGCAGATGTCACGTATGTTATCGCACTTTCTAGCTCAATATGGCACTTAAAATATCCTCCCAGTAGCAGCTTCATTGCATTATTCCTAAGTCCTAACAAGCATGACTAAGGGTTGGATGTCTAATTGTCCAGGTGGTAATGATATTCTCTTGTACCTGAACCAGTGGCTCACTTTTTTCTAAGTAATGGGGAAGTCCCCTTTTTCCGCCCCACTCTTTGGTCTTAAGAATACTGATTTTAAGAATGAGTAATTGCCCTTCTCCGACCCTTACTGCCCAACCTTATCACTCGGAGCAGTGCTACAAAACATCACAGAAGTACACTGAAGCGTGGATTTGGCAAAGGGAATTAATTAAAGCACTCACTTCAAATCCACTGGGGAAAGTTGCACGATGTGGCACACCGTTATTCTCTGACGCAGCTGGTACAGCGCCATCTGCTGAAAGTAAACTCAGTCCGTCAGCATACACAGTAAGGATAAAAACCGCAATTGGCAACATCAGACCACAAATGATACAGGTTCTCCATTGTTGATTTCCGGAAAGACAATTAAAACTTCCCAAATGAGAAGGCAATTATGCTCCAATTCCATTACAGTACTAGCAAATACCATAACTATAGGTTCCATATCTCAAATCGAAACTTGAATCACAAGCTGAAACCCCCGCCGAAAGTGCGGTCAAAACATTAACCACCGGGAGCAACTCAGAAATTCAGTCGGAACTAATGGAATCAGCTTCTATGGATCAGAGTATTGATCCACCTACTACCTTACTGGGAAAACCGAATTCAATCTCGAGAGAAACGGAAAATACGCACCAGCAGACTTGGACGCTACAGAAGAATCAGATGTCTTGGCGCACGATACTATCGACAAATGCCTCTTGACCGGCGAGCAAACAAGCGTCCTGCTGAAGCCAACAGTCTGGACAGAAGAAATTGCACCGAGCCTTTCTGCTAGCGGCTGTGCGTTTGAAACCGTAGGCACCGAACCTGAGAGAGCGAATCTAGCACAATCAAACATCTCAAGAACTAAAGCTCAAGGATCCGCAGTCTACATACAGCAGACTTCTCTGGAAACTGGCATCGGAAATTCGAACCAGACTAACTAGAGCAATATAAGCACGAAACAACGAAATGCGAGACCAACAGTAACAGAGAAAGCTTGAAAGGGAGAGTTACAGTGGAAAGAGCGGAGAAATACGGAGGACTCCATGGGAGAGGACTTGAATTGGAGCTTCAAAATGGGGGAGAATGGAGGAGGAGTTTATAGCGTGGGGGGGAGAAGAGAATTAGTTGGTTAGCTGAACTATGAATGAGTGACGGACTATGTTGCGAGGCGAAGAAGGGTGTCTTTGTAATGTCCGCCTGCTCTCTCTTCGCTCCTCAGTTTCTCCACCAAAACAAAACCACGCTGAGAGAGATTAAGGGTATTAATTAAGTACAAAACTGCGGTTGATTTTTAATTAATCGAAATTAAGCAGCAAACTGGAGCCTAGAGGGGAAATTAGCCAGTAAGGAAGGTGTGGGATGGGATAATGGAAATGTCCGTCGAGTGCAACGTGCCAGGCAGATTGGGTGTTGCCATCTCGCGGCATGGGCCCTGAGGTTGGGCTCGGGATTAGTTGCTAGTCGGGCTCCGTGATTGCTATAGTTTGGACCAAAACACATACGATTGAACGCCCAACGCAGTTCCATGATCTTCATGACAATCAAATTGAAATTCGGATTTCTTAGTTCAAAGATTTTACCAAACTGCAAATTACACACTTGTAGTCGTAGATGAAAGTTTGAAAATTTTGCTGGACTCTTAGTTCAAAGTTTTGGATGGGGTGTTACTCTTACTGTTACTGGTGCATAGCATTGAGTGGAGTGTACTTCTCTCAATTATCTATCGGTGTAACTCCGATGTAGTTACAATCAAGTGCAAATATCGTTATCGAATAATTCGACTTATTATAGTAGTCACGTCATGATTACCGCACATTTAGTACTTCAGATTTTCATAAATACTACTTGATAACGACCGACAATCGCAGCAGCGCCATAAATGTGGCGCCTAGTCAATAAAACCACTGCCCTCACGCTCACAGTTCCCCTTTCCGTTCTTCCTGCCAATACCTCCGCCCACCGACACTTTCTCGTGAACCTTAGACACTTACTTCAGTTCTATGGTTGGCATTATTCTTACATTACCAACAAGGCTGAAACAGTAGAGTGTTTTGGAACAGAAGAAGCAAACTCTTCTCATGTTCGTGAAAACCATGCTCGCCCGTTTCAACTCCATGGAGAATTGGAAATGGAATCATCTATTCTAACCCTCCTAAAGCAGATATATCAGTGCATGTCACCTTATCTGAAGCCTTCACAATGTCCCTAACTTTACCTGCACAGGGGATTAGCTCTGTCCTGTCAAAATCCCTTACCCCGATAACTACTCGAGCCTTGCATTTAGAAGATTCAGACCAAGGAAACATGCATGCTTAGCTTACTATCAACGGTCTACGGGTAAGCATAATGGCATACAGGCTTGCACATTCTCAGCCATATGATAAAGAATCATACAGCTATTATGCACGCGGAATGCAGACGCATCAGATGCAGATCAGCCGTCCAATTCTTGGTCGGACGACTCAGAACCCCTACAGCTAGAATTGCCAAGTACCAAAGTAAAGTCATCTAGTAGTCCGAACTAAATCGTAGCTTCAACCAGAGCCCTTGATTTACAGTGGTTCCATTTCCACGCAAGTTCAACACTCCCCTCTAGTACAGTCTCACAGAACGATCATGCCTATCACAGTACTCTACATAAAAACCATGAGCAACTCCTACCTAACTTTCCAGAAACCATTACAGACTCCTAAGTTTCCAGAAACCCTTCTTGCAAACCATAGACGCTATCACGATTTCATTCGATTCTCGTATCTAAAGATTCCTTCCTAATAAAACTGTGGATGGACATCCTTGTCTAGCTAAAACAAAGAGCTATCAGTCATCCCAGCTAGTTACTAGATTAATGGGTTCATCAATCAACAATGCATAACTCCAAGGATTCACAGGGAAGGAATCAATGCACTATCTTTTTTTTTTTTTTTGTAAGGATCGGATCAGTGTACTATCAGTCTATCACTTGGTTAAATATACATGAATGGAGGAACAATAGAGGATTCATGGCTGGGAATTGATAGAAGATCAACTGTATAGCGCGGATACGAATTACCACAACATAAGCAACGATCAAAAGTACAATGAAAACGAATCAATAGGATTTAGTACTGCCATGACATCAAGCTCAGATCTTCTACAAGAAATCTAATCAACAACTTGCAGTCTCAACGACAACAGATTTCAAGAAAATTCAAGTCTTGCTCAGTCAAAACCTACATGCGACTTCAATTAAAGAAGAAAAAGGAAAAGCTATGAGCGAGAGAGTTCAGTTCTCACTTTTCAATTCTCACACGCGAGCGCCGACAACGGGAGCGGCGGCGGCAGCGGCGGAGGAGGCGGCGCCGCCGAGGAACGAAAGGAGTCCGACATTCGCTGGCTCTTGCGGCTCGTCAAGGAACAGATCTTCCGGGACCCTGAAGGCGCCGTGGACGCACACAATCGCGACTCCAGCCATCAGCGCCGAGATCAAGAGCGAGCCGACGCTGGTCAAGAACACGACGACGATGGTCGACACGAGCAGGACGCCGAGCGTCTCGCGCTCGGAGAAGGTCCGGCCGAGAATCACCACGGGCTGATCGGAAGGCCGGAAGAGGTAGAGGAAGATCCAGGACGCGAGGAGGGAGAGGAGCACCAGGAGGGAGAAAGGATGGGACAGGAGGGAGAAGCCGAGGACGACTACGAGCATTGAAATGTAATTGACCTTGAAGTAGGACAGATTCTTGCGGATCCGGGCGGCGGCTTCGGTGAGGGAGTCAGGTCGAGCGAATGCGGAGCGGTCGATGAGCTCCGTCCATGGGCGGCGCTGGGAGAAGCCCTGGCGGACGGAGGAGGAGAGGCGGGAGATGAAGTTGCGGAAGGCCGGCGTGGCAATTGGAGGCTGGGATTCGGGGTTCGTGACCGGGAGAGGCGGAGCGGCCATTTTTTTTTAGACGGCGGTGCGGGATCAAGAAGCGCAGAGATCGGCGGTGGTTGCCGGGGATCTAGAGGAGGAGACGGGAGGGAAATAGAAAGAGAGATCTCTGGGAATGGAAGACAACTGGAAGGAAAACCGTAGGAAAGGCCGACTCGCAGTCGCAGAGACGTGTGTAGCTGAGGGAGAGCGAAATAGTTAAAGGCCGTGGGCCAGGTCGAGATTGAAAATTTTCAATATGAGTCGGTGTGTTAGGGAGGAGTTAGAGTGCTAACTCAATAAGAATTAGCACCATACTAATTATTTTAATCACTAGGGCTGGAGGTTCGGTTATCGATTGCCGGTTAACCGACTAACAGAAAATTATGTTCTCGGGCGGTGTTCGGTAGGGGAGTTAGGCATCGCGGTTAACCGGCTAACCGAGGGCGATAACCGCCGGTTAACCGGCTAACCGGCCCACTTTCGGAACCGAGGTCGGTGGCGTGAGAGAACAGATGGGAGGGGGTAAAGAGGGCGAATTCGGGGAGAGAGGGGAGGAAGAGGTTAGGGTTTATGGAGAAGGATTAGAGACATGGCGATGGCAGGGCATACGAAGACGAGGGAAGTGTGAGGAGAGAGGAAGGAGGAGGATCTCGCCATTTTTGATTTTTTGTTGTGTCTGGGCTCTGCAGCTTCTTCGTCTTCTTCTGTCGCCACTCACCTGTCCTCCACCACCCAAATCCCTAATCGAAGACACCCGCCTCGCCCACCCCCTTCCCTTCTCTTCTCTGCATCGCGACGGGAAGAGCACTTTGTGCCGCCGCCCGCCTGCTGCACCGCCATCTCCCTCCACGGCCCGCGCCCGGCACGCCGTTCCGCCATCTCCCTCCACGATCCGCGGCCGGCGCTCCTGCTGCTCCGCCATCTCCTCCCCGAGATCCCGACCAAACCACGAGCAGCCAACACCCGCCGTTCCTCCGCCGCCGTTCCAGCGCCGAGCGAGAGAGATCAAAGAAAGGGACTGACGAGAGAGAGAAGCAGGGCATGGGAACAAACAAAGCAAATCAGATCAAATCAATCTTTGACGAGGGTGCAAGGGTTGACGAGGGTGGGATCCCCGCTCTGGAGGACGTTATCCGGATCGGGAAAAGGCAACGAATTTGAAGGGGGCTCTGGAAAAGGCAACGAATTTGAAGGGGGCTAGGGTTTCAGTGGTGCAGAGATATGGAGGAGGAGGAAGAATAAGAAGCAGGTTTGGGTGGGGAAGAGAGGAGAGTCAGTCAACCGAACCACCAGACTGTTCCCCTCTTTGAGTTTCGATTTTGCGGTTAACTCGGTTAATCGAGCAACTAACCGGTAACCGACCGGTCGGTTGTCGAATAAGCGATGGGCTCCGTCGGGCGGTTGGCGGTAGGCTTGTTGGTCGTCGCGGTTAACCGGTAACCGACATTTCGGTTGTCGGTTATAACCGAGATAACCGAAAATCCACCCCTATTAATCACTATTCATTAGTAATGACGTTGGGGGGAGCTCTGTCTGGCCGGAATGACGTTGAGATGTCAACCGGCGGTCGGCGCCCGCCATCTGCTACTTCATCACCAAACAAATTGACGGAAAAAGAAACGCAACAGCAGAGGAAGCGTGCCAAATCGGTGCGTACCCCACTGCTCTTCGAGTCGGAGGCCGTGGCTGAGGATTTCCCGGCATTGCCAACTAGTCAAGGACCCGTGCACTCCCAACAACAGGAAGGGCATGGAAGCTCGCCGCCCTCAGCTTGGGGTGGAAAGAAAAGTTTGAGTGAACTAATGGCTGACAACGCGTGGTACGTTGCGGAGTCGGATACAAAAGATGTTCATGAAGTCATGAGGGAGGAGGACATGGATGATGAGGTCCCCGAAGAGGATGATCTTCCTAGGTGTCCCACTATCCTGTTCAAGGAAAGGGAGAAGGCTCGGTATCGCCGTAAATGGTGATCTGCACTAATTGTTAAGGTCCTGAGACGCTCGTTCCCCTTTCTGGTGTTATCAAAGAGGCTTGAGACGCTCTGGGCAAAGCATGGCAACCTTCAAATCTCGAGCATATCATTTGGTTTCTATGTAGTACGATTCACTAGTCAAATGGATTATGAACAAGCTGTTGCTGGTGGTCCTTAGATGATCTAGGGTCACTATTTGACAGTCAGGCCATGGAGAAAAGGTTTTGACGCCAGTTTCGCTGAAGTGGCTTCGACGATGGTATGGGCGCGTCTGCCACAGCTTTCGCTTGAATTTTTTGACCGCGATGCCGTTGAAAGAATTGCGCAAAGAATTGCGTGTCCCATTAGAGCAGACAGAGCCACTCTCACAAGAGAAAGAACTCAATATGCTAGAGTTTGTGTAGAGGTGGATCTGACAAACCCCCTTTTGGGAAGCTACAAGATAGAAGGGGAAAAGTATTATATCGAGTATGAGGGCCTACATAATATATGCACGGAGTGTGGGAAGTATGGGCATGCGAAAGTCACATGTCCAACGCCTTTCGTACCACCATCGGCACCACCTTCTACGGAGCACCCTCAAGAGGAGGATTCCCCGGTTCCAGCATCAGCGGCCCCGAAACCTGTCTATGGCGACTGGATGATTGCCAAGCCAAAAGGAGAAGCGTTCTAAAAAGTTAGGTAACGAGCACAACACAGAAAAGAAGGTAGCCAATGCCTCAGTGGGGGGTGTAGGGTCACGGTTTTCTTCTCTGGAGACAGCGGGTGAGGTTATGAATGTGGATGAAGAGGAAATGTAGAAGGATTCAGACGCGGTGAGTACGGGAGGTGTGGATATTGTGGCAAAGTCAGCCCATGCGGCTGAGGAGCAGTTGGTGGATCGACAGGGCTCTCAGATAGCGGGGGGAGGCAATATGACAATGGTGAATGAGCTTACCCAATCCTAAACACTTTAAAACCTTGTTAATGTCCCGGTGTTCACGAGTACTAAACCCATTGAGTCTACTAAGGCGACATCGGTGGACAAGAAATCCACGGTTAGCTCCATGCTAAAATCGAAGAATGTGGTGGCGGGAAAGGCTCCCAAGTCAACCGACAAGGGAGCTAAACTTGGGAAAACCTCGAGTAAAGGGGCTTCCTCGCCCATTCCTCCTACGGGACAGGGGTGTGAACCCTTCCCTACTCATCGGGAGTGTGTACAACTCCAGGGAAGCAGCTCCATGCTTCTCCTTCACCCACGTGATCTCAGCGTCTTTGACGCGTGTGCCGGGGAAGTTTTCACCCTACTCTTGCTTTTTATTATGTTAGATATTCTTTCTTGGAACTGCCAAGGGGCGGGAAATGATCAGTTTATTGCTTTCTTGTTAGATTTTTGTAGGTTGGTCAAACCTGATTTAGTTTTTATCTTAGAACCCAAAATAAGTGGTGACGTCGCTGAGCGTGTAATTTCACGTACAGGTTTTTATGGTCATCTAATGGTTGATGTGTTGGGTTCTCCGGAGGAATTTGGGTGTTGTAGCAGAAGAATAATTTGGTGGTGAGTCCGGTTTATGAATGGGAACAGATGATCCATGTGCGGTGCTCGAAGGTGCATAGTCCGAACTCATTAATTTAATTTAATTTATTTTAATGTCCAGCTCATTTTTACCACAAAATAAATAAATAAAATAAAATAAAAATTATTATAATTATTAAATTGAAAGGGGCGCTCCAAAATCTCACTATCTCCTGCTCCTTGCCGCCGGCGACAACCATTGAAGAGCTCCTGCGTACGATCGCCGACGATTACTTACGCTTGGACGCAAAATCTCTTCTCCATCACATTCTCGGCAACCAAACAGAATCCACTGAAGCAAAGAAAGAGAGCTCAAAATTAGAATGGCAGGGAAATAAATAGACCAGCCGACCATTGATGAACTGAAAGCAAACATCGTTTTTTTTATTTCCTTTGTTAATGATTTTTCACAGAAAAGAAGGCCTAGATTTCGAAAAGTCAGCAAGAGAGAACGGAAAGGGGGTGAAAGTTGTTTTATAACTAACCCGAATTCATCAGGAACGTTGCGGAAAATCTTCATCTTCCGTCTTGCCCGGTTGCCCCTTTGTAGAGATCCTCCAAGCTACAAGCCAACTTGCTCTCAATCGCCGGAGCTTTCTTATTCCCCTGATGATGATGATGGTGATGGTGATGATGATTCCCTGGGGTCTCCCCATTCCTCCAGAACGTGAAATTTTCTCCACCACATTCTCGGCAACCAAACGTTCAAACTTGGTCCTGTTGCACCCTCTTCTTCGAAATCGGCATGCCGAACAACTTGGTCCTGTTGCATGACCCGTTATCCATAGTGCCATTGTTGTTGTGGTTGTTGGGAAGCTCTTCCAAGATCGTCACCGTGCTCTGCGAGTTCCCGCTGTTGCTGTAGCTGGGCGACGTCGTACTGGTAGCAGTAGTGACGTTACGATTGTTCAACACCTGAATTGCGCCGCAACCCCACCTTACATATTCGACGTCGGGTAGTAGCCCAGCAGCTGGTTCAGCGGCTTCTGCGCGAAATGGCTGTGGGGCGAAACGACCCAGTTGGAAGGAAAGGGCGGGAAGTGGTGGTTGCTGCTGGGAGCGACGGGCTTGACATGGTTCTGGACGAAGTAGATGATGTCCTTGTACAGCTTCTTCATGTGCGCCAGCTCCGACATCAGTATGTTGTTGCTCCGACGCAGCCTCTCGGTGTCCTGCGCCAATGCCGTCACCGTCCCCACGCCCAAATTACTACTGCCTGTTGTCGCGGTGGGTCCCGCTACTCATCCGACTCTAGGTGGATAGACACGCTGCGGCGCTGGCGGCGTGGAGTCCCAGTAGTTGTGGTTGTGGTGGTTGGGGAAGAGGTGGAGGTTGTCGTCGAGGGAGATGCTGATCCGGTTGGTGGAGAAAGGAAGAATCCGACCCTTTCAATTTGATAATTATAATTATTTATTTTATTTATTTATTTTGTGGTAAAAATGAGCTGGATATTAAAATAGATTATATTATATTATATTTATTATTTTTTAATTGACACGTCACTAAGTTAACGGTCAACTTTGAGAGTTGACTGCCACATCAGCCAAAGTTAACGGAGTTGGATGGAGAGTGACCAAACATGAACGATTTTAGTAAATTGAAGTACCGCCAATGGATTTAAATATTTCGAGTGACCAAACTTAAACGTTTTTTATAATCTCAGTGACCAATCATACAATTAACCCGAAAAAACTGAAAATCCAAAATCATCTAATTTTAGTAATGCTAATGAAATATAAGTAGGTAAAGGAAATGAAAAAACTGAAAATCCAAAATCATCTAATTTTTGTAATGCTAATGGAATATAAGTAGGTAGGAAGATATTTCATGAAGGCAAATCTAACAATTTTAATACAGATAAACTGAGATGTAGAATCAACTGATTATCGTCGATAGAACTACTTTGCGTTCCAATGAATGGTATGAACATATGATATATTTCAACTTATGACCTTGTCTGGATAATAGTCGCAAACATGCTTGGTACAAATAACCAATAACTTCTAAAACTAACGCCAAACTGAGTGTATAATTGGAACTGATCAGCTACAAAGATGGCAATAGGGAGGATAAACCATCGCTTGGAGACCTTTTCTACTATGGTGTTGGACTCAGAATTATTGACTAAATCTTCACCTGCAAAGGAAAGAAGAAAAGAACAGAGTAAATTTTGCATTACCCCACTTCAAAATGGAAAAGAAAAGCTCATCAGTTAACTGTAAAACAGTCCATTACAGTATCTGAATGAAGGGTTCAAAATGTTATACTTGAAGTTCTGTAGAGTTGAAGTTCAATAAACGAACGCCTGGTAGGAACTTTATTTAGGATCCAAGTCAATGAAGAATGGAACAGAGCCTTGTCAACCACCAGCCTAATTTATTGTATCACACCATCCAACTTTTGGACGTTCATCTTTGCTAATGGAGAAACCAGCCGGGAAAAATGCAAAGCAAACAACCAGGAAAGGAAGCATTGTTAAGGAATTTGTATTTGAGTGAACCATGCATGATTTACTTAAATGACAATAAAAGCTGAAATGAGTATTCATGAAAAGTTGTGTACTTTGATATATATCCATTATCAAATCAAAGAATTACACACAACAAAGATTCGTCAATATGTTGGGGCCAAACCCTATCACTGCATAGCTGGTTCCAACACGAATAAGCGAGCTCGAAGATCGCTCGCAGATGATATCACCAAAGGGTCTGGGTGAATTGGCCTGAAGCAAAAATTAATAAAAGCAGAACGAAAATTCAGATTTTGAACTCTAGAAATCCGTATAAATTAAATGTCCAAAGTCCATAGACAAAACTTTAGAAATCAATACCTCAAGCCGAAGACCACCACCACAACTTTTGTCCCATCTATAGTAAGAAATGGCTGCAGCTTGTTGCCTGTATTTGGAATGAATGTTGCTGATGAAGTGAACTGAATCCGAATCCGCTCTGGAAAAGGAAAGCTGCACCAGTGTTTAAGTGTTGCTTAGTTAAACTGTGTCGTTTTGGTTTGTTTCTGTTTGGTACTTAAAGTTTGTCGAGGGTTAGTAGTGATCATTGTTGCTGAACTAGCCGTTGCAGCTGTTTGTTGCAGCAGGGTCGAGTAGTTAGGCAGGGAGCTATTTTCCAGGGATCATGGGGATAGGGTTGTTTGTCAAAGCCGAGTTTGAGGGCTGTAGTTGAGAGTCCTCCGTATATATTTCAATTCCAATCAATGAATAAAGGCGTCAGTTTGCAGTACATCTGAGTTAACAAAGTGGTATCAGAGCGGGTTGCAAGCTGTAACCAAGAGAGATTTGTGTGATTCGTGAGTAAGTAAAGAGTGATTCTCTGGGTTGGGAAACACGAGTGAACAAGTGAGGCAAGAAATTTCCTGGTGAGAGCTCAAATATGAGTGAAAGCAGCTTTGCTCAGGTCTGTATACCCAAGTTTGATGGGGATTTCGACCACTGGAGCATGCTGATGGAGAACCTTCTGCGATCTAAAGAATACTGGGCAGTGGTTCAGGATGGAATAAGGGAGCCTGCACAAGGAGAGGAGTTGACTGAGGCTCAGCAAAGAGTCCTGGAGGAAAGGAGATTGAGAGATCTCAAGGCAAAGAATTACTTATTCAGCTCCATTGACAAGAGCATTTTGAAGACAATTACTCAAAAGGCAACAGTCAAGGAGCTGTGGGATTCAATGAAAACAAGGTACCAGGGCAGTGAAAGGGTGAAGAAGTCACAACTCCAGAGTCTCAGGAGAAGTTTTGAACTGCTGCAAATGAAGGAGGGAGAGTCTGTTACAGACTATTTTGGAAGAGTAATGACTGTGGCCAACTCTATGAGGAACTGTGGAGAGCTGATGCCAGATGTGAAGATAGTGGAAAAGGTACTGAGAACACTGACTGCAAAATTCAATTTCATAGTCTGTTCTATAGAAGAGTCCAAGGACATAGAAGAATTGAGTGTTGAAGCTTTGCAAAGCTCATTGCTTGTGCATGAGCAAAAGTTTATTAAGCAATCTGAGGAAGAACAGGCTTTGAAGGTGACTTTTGAGTATGGAGGAAGAGGTGGACGAGGTCCAGAGAGAGGCATGTATCAGGGTAGAGGAAGGGGAAGAGGAAGGGGATTGAATCGTGACTTGGTAGAATGCTTTAAATGTCACAAACTGGGACATTTTAAGGCAGAATGCCCTGAGTGGTATGGCAATCACCAAACACACTATTCAAGTCACAGTTCCAATCCTAATCAGTCACAATTCAACCACCCTGACATGACTGAAGATGTTCTACTCATGGCTTTTGTCGAGAAGAAAGAAGAAGAAGCAGGAGTGGATCTGCAGAATTCAATGGCATTTCTGGACTCACAGCTTGAAGAGACAAGGGATACCTGGTGGTTTCTTGATTCTGGCTGCAGCAACCACATGAGTGGAGAAAAGCAGTGGTTCACTACCATGGAAGACAATGATGATTGCAATGTGAAGTTGGGCAATGGATCGAGGCTTACAGTTGCTGGCAAAGGCACAGTCAGGATAGTGGTAGATGGAGTTTCTCTGGCAATCAGTGATGTGTTCTATGTTCCAGGGCTCACTACAAACCTGCTGAGCGTAGGACAATTACAAGAGAAGCAGCTGAACTTTGTCTTCAAAGAAGGAACTTGCAAAATCTATCATGAAGAGAAGGGATTGTTGCTGCAAACAACAATGAAGACCAACAGAATGTTTGTTCTGCACTCTCAGAAGCAGACTAACAGTTCTAACAATAATCATCACTGTTTGCACCAAACTGAAGCCAGTAACAAGCTATTCAATCTCTGGCATAGGAGATTTGGACATCTAAACAGCAAAAGCCTACTGCAGATGAAGAAAAAGGAGGTTGTGCAAGGATTACCTCAGCTGCAAGGAGACCTGGGAGTCTGCTCCACCTGCCAGATTGGAAAGCAACACAGAGCCAGCTTTCCTAAGCAAAGCACATGGAGAGCAACCAAGAGACTCCAGCTGATTCATGCTGACCTATGTGGACCAATCACACCAGTGTCCAATGGGGGAAAAAGATACATTCTCACTATCACTGATGACTTCAGCAGGAAGTTGTGGGTGTATTTCTTGGAAACAAAAGCAGAAACTCTAAGTTGTTTCAAGAAATACAAAGCTCAAGTAGAAAAAGAAGCTGGTGAACCTATTGTGTGTCTCAGAACTGATCGAGGAGGGGAATTTCTTTTGAATGAGTTCAAAGGATTATGTGAAGCTGAAGGCATAAGGAGGCAACTGACTGCTGCATTGACTCCCCAACAGAATGGGGTTGCTGAGAGGAGGAACAGGACCATAATGAACATGGTCAGGTGCTCCATGGCTGATACAAGAGTCGCGGCAACATTCTGGCCAGAGGCTATGGCATGGACCAGTCACATTTTAAACATAAGTCCTACCTCAGCAAACTCTGGAAAAACACCACATGAGCTCTGGTCAGGTAAACCTCCAGCTGTTGGTCATTTTAAAGTGTTTGGATGTGTAGCATATGTCCATGGGAATGATCACCTGAGGAAGAAATTGGATGCCAAAAGTATACAGTGCTACTTCCTAGGCTTATCCACTGAGTCTAAGGCTTATAAACTGTATAATCCTGTTACCAAAAAGATAGTGATCAGTAGGGACGTGGTCTTTGATGAGACCAAGGGCTGGTCTTGGGAGTCTGAAGCTGAACCTGTATTGACCAAAGTGACTTGGGAAGGAAGTAATGAGCCATGGTATGAATTTGATGAGGAGGAAGAAACTGCCACTACAGAATCAACACCATCAGTCACACCACCAGCAGACCCATCAACAGAACCAACTACACCAATTCCTTCTGCAGCAACTCAAGCACCTCAGGATGATGGGGAGGAAGATGAGGATAATGATCCTGATGTGCTTGGCCTTCCCAGTGGAGGATTAGGTCCCAGAGTGAGGAAACCACCCAGCCACTTGTCAATTTATGACTGCACTTACTTTGCAGGCTTAGACTACTGGGCTATGGTAACTATCAGTGATGATCCTACTACTTTTGAAGAAGCTGTGCAGAATGAGAAGTGGAGAAAGGCAATGCAGCAAGAAATGATCAGCATTGAGAAAAATGACACATGGATTCTGGTGACATTACCTGCAGGGGTGACTCCAATTGGAGTTAAGTGGATTTTCAAGACTAAGTTGAAGGAGGATGGATCTCTGGACAAATTCAAAGCAAGGCTAGTGGCAAAAGGGTATGCACAGAAACATGGTATAGACTATACTGAAGTCTTTGCTCCTGTGGCCAGGTGGGACACAATCAGAACCCTTCTTGCACTAGCAGCATATCATGGTTTTCCAGTATATCAACTCGATGTAAAGAGTGCCTTTTTACATGGTGAGCTGACTGAGGAAGTCTACATCGAGCAGCCTCAAGGTTTTGAAGTCAAGGGTGAGGAACAGAAGGTTTATAAACTGAAGAAAGCACTGTATGGGTTGAAACAGGCTCCAAGAGCCTGGTACAGTAGGATTGAGGCCTATTTTCTCAAATCTGGCTTTGAGAGAAGTGATTATGAGCATACATTGTTCATAAAGAAGTCTGGAAATGACCTCCTGTTGGTCAGTCTCTATGTAGATGATCTTATGTACACCAGCAGCAGCTCTGAGCTCATAGAAGAATTCAAGAAGTCCATGCAAGAAGAATTTGAAATGACAGACCTAGGGAGGATGAAGTACTTTCTAGGAGTGGAGGTGCATCAAAGTAAAGCTGGAATCTTTATCAATCAGCAGAAATATGTGAAGGAGGTATTAGAGAAGTATGGTCTGTCAGCTTGCAATTTTGTGAAGAACCCTTCAGCCCCTGGAACTAAACTGTCTAAAGCAGGAGATGGGGTTCAGGTAGATGCTACTGAGTATAAAAGTTTGATTGGCAGCCTGCTTTATATGTGTGCTACTCGGCCAGATATCATGTATTCTGTGTGCTTGTTAAGTAGATTCATGGAGGCACCAACAAGACAGCATATGTTTGCAGCTAAAAGGGTCTTGAGGTACTTAAAGGGCACTATAAGTCATGGCATTTGGTACAAGAAGAAGGATGGAAATGATAAGTTGGTGGGGTACACTGATAGTGATTATGCAGGTGACTTGGATGATCGAAAGTCAACCAGTGGCTATGTGTTCTTCATTGCTGGAGGGGCTATTTCATGGGCCTCGAAGAAACAGCCAGTAGTCACTTTATCAACCACTGAAGCTGAGTTTGTGGCTGGATCCTATTGTGCAGCCCAATGTGTCTGGTTGAGGAAGATACTAGAACAGATGGGTTGGAGGAGCAGTGTTGATACTGCCACAAGAGTTCTGTGTGACAGCAGCTCTGCAATCAAGCTGTCCAAGAACCCTGTACTTCACGGCAGGAGTAAACACATCGACGTGCGCTTTCATTTTCTGAGGAATTTGGCTAAGGAAGAGGTGATTGAGATGGAACATTGTCGAAGTCATGAACAAGTTGCTGATATCATGACAAAATCCCTCCAACTGGATGCGTTTCAAACACTAAGATATCAATTGGGAGTCTGTGATGAAAGAGAGTTCGAAGAAGCAGGAGCCAACAGTGGAGAAAAGGAGCACTAAGGTCTGTGAAGGGGGATTCAGTTCAGGGGAGGATAATGTTGCTGATGAAGTGAACTGAATCCGAATCCGCTCTGGAAAAGGAAAGCTGCACCAGTGTTTAAGTGTTGCTTAGTTAAACTGTGTCGTTTTGGTTTGTTTCTGTTTGGTACTTAAAGTTTGTCGAGGGTTAGTAGTGATCATTGTTGCTGAACTAGCCGTTGCAGCTGTTTGTTGCAGCAGGGTCGAGTAGTTAGGCAGGGAGCTATTTTCCAGGGATCATGGGGATAGGGTTGTTTGTCAAAGCCGAGTTTGAGGGCTGTAGTTGAGAGTCCTCCGTATATATTTCAATTCCAATCAATGAATAAAGGCGTCAGTTTGCAGTACATCTGAGTTAACAATGAAAACGAAACAGAAATGATCCCGTCAAAGGAAACAATTCTGGTACCAATTAAAGGAGGAGAAAGAGGAGGAAACCAACGAAACGTACTTACCCCTGGGAGAAATCAAAGTCGCACTGTGGATTGATTTACCAGCTCTAATGGTCCCGTCATATCTGTGGTACTCTAGCTGCCATGGGATCGTCGGGAACATACTGCAGTGTCACCTAGCGACTCCTGTGATTGGCATGGACATTATTGGTGTCGCCTGCTCATCAGCTCCGACGATGATGCATGTCGGCCGTGTTCCTGGTTCTGAGCGGCGTCAGTAGTAGTGATGGAGATAAACATAGGAAAATTGGAGGAGAATGGCTGTTTCCCAAGAAAAATCAAATGCCACCGCCGGGCCGAATTCGTTTCCGGCGATGTTGATTTGATGTTTTGCGGTGGAAACTCTTGCGGTGCCGTTTGATCGAATGCACCGCTGATTGCTGAAATCGAGACGACCGTCAAATATCCGCCGCCGAATGTCGGCGCCGTTGATTTGATCGATGCACCTCTGAATGGTGAAATCAACGTGACCGTCAAATATCCACTGCCGGGTGGTGTTGATTTGATCGATGCACCTCTGACTTCTAACCAACGCGACCGTTACTACGGTTCGCACCTCTCCAAACTACGTTCGAACGAGGGTGTTTGAGTTTTGAGGAATCTACGCTACCGCTACTCCTATGGAGATTCCTGTGGAGAGCTCCGTGACTACGACTAAAACTACAACTATGGAGATCCTTCCTGGAAGGAGAGCTCCGCGAAGGAGTTACAGAGAAAAGGTAAAGTTTTGACAGAGTTGTTCTGTGTTGATTTTTGGTCGTCCCTGTCTCTCTCCTTGCAGGGTTGATTTTATCTAAAACCAACTTCGTAGTCTTCACGCTCTGTAGAACTGCTTCCTCAACTGCTCCGTCCTGAAATCCCACGTGTCTCAACTGCCTTGATCTCCTCTTTCTGCTTTGCGTAAAAGTCACGTGCACACACATCAACTTTGTACCATGGTTCGAATCCTGATACCGCCATCGATTAAAACAACATTGTTGTTTCACCCTCGTGACCGCGTACTCGCCGCTAGATTGTTGATCTCTCGGCGTCGTTGACCACACAAAGTCGATGGCCTTCGTTGAACTCCACGATGTTGCTTTGGCCTTGCGGTATCATTGAACTTCGCGACATTGCCGCACTAGCAACGCCGCTAGATTCGCGACCGCGACCATCTCTCTCCGCCGCAATGTTGTTTAGCTCGCGGCTTTATCCACCACCGCGGTATTGCTGATTCCTCGCGCGATATCGTTTTCAAGCTCCGCGGTGTCGTTTCCTCTCCAAACAGCTCCGTTTGTTTTTCTTTCCGCGACATTGTTTAAATATTTAAACATTGTCGTTTGCTAATACAGCGGTACCGTTGGGCTTACTCGCGGTACCGTTTTTAATTTAAACGACACCGCTGATATAGCCGAAAATATTCCATGGAACCGCCGTCAATCGGCGCTCGCATTGGACTAGGCGAATTTTGGTTTAATTAATCAGTACCGCTTACCAGGCTCTTGCGGCATCGTTTTTAAATCCGCGGTACCGTTTTTGACTCTCCGCGACACCGCTTATCTCCATGCGGAACCGATTTTCCCCTTCCAACAAGGAATAAAAACAATAATTAATTATAAACAGAAAAAACTTCTTCCCCGACACCTACACTAAAACGCGCGGCCCCTTTTATTTTCAGTAAACGTTGTCGTTTCCAGTGCCGCGGTACCGCTGAGCTTCCTTGCGGTACCGTTTTAACTCATCCGCGATGTCGCTTGTCGCGGTGCCGTTTTTAGCCAAACGACATCGTTTCCCAGTCTCGCGATGCCGTTGAGCTTTGAGGCCCGCGGCACCGTTTTATCTCTTCGCAGCATTGCTTGACTCCAAACGGTGCTGTTACTCTCCTCCTCCGACAAGGAAAAATAAAATAAAAAACATTCCTTGTCCAATAGCAACACATGTCCTGCGCATGACTCACACATGGTCTGCAACCAATGTCGTTTCAAGTACCGCGGTACCGCCGAGCCTCTTCGCGGTCTCGCTTAAATTCTCCGCGGCATTGCTCGACACCAAACGACATCGCTTTGGCCATGCGATATCGAATTAAATGTCGAGAATCATTATTACGGCATTGAATTTAGGCCAAAAATATTTTAGGTGTAAACAATGCCCCCCACAATTTGGTTTATAAGAATTATGAACCAAATTGTTGACACAACTTAAATCACCTAAAATATCTCAAAATCACGTTGATTTGACCACAAAGAAAAATCCCACTGGTCTATTTTGCAACTCGCCGTAACCATTGTTCACGGTGCTGCTTTGGTTAAGCAATAGATTATTAACTTCTATTCCTTTCCTGAGAACCCTAGCTGCTTAAAGGCCTCATAATATTCCTCCATGAAAATTCTTAAGTAAAGAAAGAAAAACCATGGCCATGCAATGTTACCTTTCGGAGGACGGGACTTTTAACAACACGGCTCCTTGCAAGAGTAGAAGTCCGCTTCAGCAGCAATGTTGCCCTCATCCGCAGTGTTGCTCTATTCCGAAACGCATGCGCTTAGCCTTTCTCCTTTCTCTGTGTCCGAAGTTGCCGTTCCTCAAGCTCGCAAAACTCGAGCATCATTGATTCACGATACTCCCAGGGCAATACAATGGCCAAACGACACTGCTTTGGCCACTTTCATACACATCATTGTTGCAACAGCCTGCAAAGCTGTTTTAGGCTATTCCGGTGATGCTTTATATTTCCTTCACAAATCCTCAATGTTGCTTTTGACCAAACGGCAGCGCTTTGACGCTTTTTGTTTCTTACTCATTTCGCAACACCGCAACGCTGTGGCAGGCTTTATCAAAACGCAGTGGATTTATCCCCGCACTGCAGAGCTGTGAAGAGCAAAACACCCCTGCATGCTTTTTCCCTGTGGCAGCGGCAGCGTCGTATGGAGCTCGTTATCCTGAGACCCTATTTTCCTTCCCGCCTTGTTGTAGTCAAATCGAATACACGCCTTCGGGCAACACTGCTGCCAAGACCCACTACAATGTTGCAAAAAAAAAAAAATTCTTACCCGCTGTTGCCTTGGCCAAATTAAATTAATGCATCCGATTTTTTTTTTTTTTTGGCCAAGTTCCATCTGCAATGCTAGCTTGGCAATGCTATTTAGGCCAAAGGAACAGCCTCGTTGAAAGTTGCAACAGCTCCACAAGACTGCAACCCTTTCGCGGCACCGCTTTGGCCAAAACAATTGTGTCGGGGTTTTATTATTAATTCATATTTGGCCAACTAACAGTCACGCCAACAAAATTTTAACCACGTTTTGGCCACAAGAAAAATCCGACTGGTGTACTTGCACCCATAACCTTGCTCACGCCTCACACTGCTACTTTGGAAGAGACACTCGGAGTAAAACAAGGTTGTTTCACGGCAATAGTATAGTCTCCCACCCAACAACTCTAGATCTCCTATACAACCCTGCAGCGGCCGTAGTGCTGCCTTAGCCCAAAACAGACTTGCTTTTGTAGACTCCCACAACATTGCCTAGGCCAAACGGCAGTGTTTTGAATTTTTCTTTCATTTAAACAAAAATATCAAACAGCCGTGTGTTTTTAGTGTCACCTATGCTGGCAGCTCCGCAATGTTGTTTTCCCGCAACAATATTGAACTACTAGCCGCAATGCTGTTTTGGCTGAAACGGCCGCATTTAACTAAACCTTTTTTATTTTTTACTGCCGCTTTAGATTTGTTTTGCTCATTGCTGCGGCGACTAAAATTACATCGCCACCAATGTGGTTGTTAACCCTCATCACCGCTGGCCTTTTATCTTACTTGCTGCAAACCAACAACTAGCGCCAACAACGTCGCAAAACCTCAACAAAAAAAATATATTTTATTATTTGTTGTATGGCCAACAACGTGCAAGATTGCTCTTGTAATTTTGTTTGGATTTTTTCTTTATTTATTTTTAACTTGGCCCAAAGTGAGTCCCAAATATCATCAACGTCGTTGGCCGCTTTGTTCCAAAGTCCAAACGACAACGTTTCCATCATTTTTTTTAACGTTGCTCAAAGGAACAAAACGACAATGTTCCATTATTATTATTCGATGCCACCAATCAGCCAACAACGATGGACTTCATCACTGCTTATCGCTTAGGCTCGGTGGTGCTGGCATTTTTTATTTTTTTTCAACGGCATTATTTATCCCTCTATCACTGTTGAGACAAGAGAAAACAACACCGTTTGCCATCTTGAACCATCAACAACACCAACTTCTTCTTAACAATGTCGCTTGATTATATTTTTATAATAATAATTTTTTCTTTTGCTCTTTTTTTTTTAATATATTACGTGGCCTAAATTAGCCACACATTTATTTTAATAGTAGTTAAACAAAACAGGGTTGGCATTGACATAAACCATCCTGCCAAAAGTCCAAACCCACTGCCAACTCCACATATCAAACCAAACAAGCCATCCATAAAGTCCATGATTCATCACAGCTGGCTTCACACGCGTTGGTTTTGATGTTTTGGAATCAATGTTGGCTTGCAAATCCCCAGTTCGCCTAGCTCGAACAGATTTGTTTGAAACTCCACGATCCTGATTTGGCCTAATCTTAGCTTCGCGGATTGGAAAACCATAAGCATTCTTGTCTCTAGACAGGACATTCCCGTTTTTCGGCACCATTGTCTTGTCAATTCGATCATGTGACATTGCTTGCCTAGACTGGTCTAGTTTTGTCAGCTTCGCACTCTCACCATGTGGTTGGTAGTATGAGCGCCGAGACTTTTCATCAACAGGTACGTTGGTACTTCGCTTAGCACCAACATGACTTTTGCACCTATCACACAACAACGTTGCCCCTTTTAAAATTCCACGTGATTTTGGAGTTTGTTTGGCATTGGCCTTGCCCCCCAGACCACCACTCATGGCTTTGTTCCCAGCCAACACTGGTGTGGCAACCCGATGTCGGGTTTGATTGAACTTGCCCCCCTGTCCACTCAGTGGAGGCTTTGGGGACAAATTACAATGAGGGTTCTGTTGATTCATGCCAACTCTTGCGGGATTGGTTTTTTTCACGTGGTCACCACCTCCATCTTGAATAGTGTCTGTGGTGACCCTAGTTCGATTTTTCTCAGAACAGGGTGGATGTGGCAAACTTATTTGCCACTTACGGTGTTGTTTCTCCTTCAATCTACCACGAGCTGGGATGACATGCCCCCCTAGCGGCTCAGATTGAACAATGTTGTAAAATTTGTCATCTTTCAAGATATCACGCTTGTTTTTCTTAATTTTCTGGAACTTATTATGAACACGTTTAAATTTTGTTCTTTGTTGTGGCTTTCGCAAGACAGCTCTAACTTTTCTGTCCTTCAAAACAATAGTGTTCACAGGAGAACGAACATGACATTTGCTAGCCTCCAACGACACTGTTTTAGCCATAGGTTTTAGTGAATCTTGATTGACAATACCGAAAACATGTCCGTCTATCATCTCAAAAAATTTATCCATATGTTTTCCAAGAGAATCACACGGCTTATTTAAAGAGATAAAATAGAGATTTACCTGCAGGTAATACTCCTCCACGGCTCGACGAAGAGACAGGAGTGCAACACGCCCGTCAGTGCTCGACATGGATTGAGGCCACTCCTTCATCCGACCGATATGTCTATCCGCCTCGTCCGCCTGACCAACTTCAGTATTGGTCCTTTGCTCGTCCAGAAATTGTTGTGGAAGATCGCAATCTTGTTTTTCTCGCCGCAGAGCCATTTCAAACACACGCGTCCCACTAGGTGTGCCAAGATGTTTCCCAAGAAAAATCAAATGCCACCGCCGGGCCGAATTCGTTTCCGGCGATGTTGATTTGATGTTTTGCGGTGGAAACTCTTGCGGTGCCGTTTGATCGAATGCACCGCTGATTGCTGAAATCGAGACGACCGTCAAATATCCGCCGCCGAATGTCGGCGCCGTTGATTTGATCGATGCACCTCTGAATGGTGAAATCAACGTGACCGTCAAATATCCACTGCCGGGTGGTGTTGATTTGATCGATGCACCTCTGACTTCTAACCAACGCGACCGTTACTACGGTTCGCACCTCTCCAAACTACGTTCGAACGAGGGTGTTTGAGTTTTGAGGAATCTACGCTACCGCTACTCCTATGGAGATTCCTGTGGAGAGCTCCGCGACTACGACTAAGACTACAACTATGGAGATCCTTCCTGGAAGGAGAGCTCCGCGAAGGAGTTACAGAGAAAAGGTAAAGTTTTGACAGAGTTGTTCTGTGTTGATTTTTGGTCGTCCCTGTCTCTCTCCTTGCAGGGTTGATTTTATCTAAAACCAACTTCGTAGTCTTCACGCTCTGTAGAACTGCTTCCTCAACTGCTCCGTCCTGAAATCCCACGTGTCTCAACTGCCTTGATCTCCTCTTTCTGCTTTGCGTAAAAGTCACGTGCACACACATCAACTTTGTACCATGGTTCGAATCCTGATACCGCCATCGATTAAAAAGACATTGTTGTTTCACCCTCGTGACCGCGTACTCGCCGCTAGATTGTTGATCTCTCGGCGTCGTTGACCACACAAAGTCGATGGCCTTCGTTGAACTCCACGATGTTGCTTTGGCCTTGCGGTATCATTGAACTTCGCGACATTGCCGCACTAGCAACGCCGCTAGATTCGCGACCGCTACCATCTCTCTCCGCCGCAATGTTGTTTAGCTCGCGGCTTTATCCACCACCGCGGTATTGCTGATTCCTCGCGCGATATCGTTTTCAAGCTCCGAGGTGTCGTTTCCTCTCCAAACAGCTCCGTTTGTTTTTCTTTCCGCGACATTGTTTAAATATTTAAACATTGTCGTTTGCTAATACAGCGGTACCATTGGGCTTACTCGCGGTACCGTTTTTAATTTAAACGACACCGCTGATATAGCCGAAAATATTCCATGGAACCGCCGTCAATCGGCGCTCGCATTGGACTAGGCGAATTTTGGTTTAATTAATCAGTACCGCTTACCAGGCTCTTGCGGCATCGTTTTTAAATCCGCGGTACCGTTTTGACTCTCCGCGACACCGCTTATCTCCATGCGGAACCGATTTTCCCCTTCCAACAAGGAATAAAAA